CTGCTGGGACCTGGGACAGCAGTCCCTGGCCCCCAGCTCCAGAACAGCCTGATGGGAACAGTGGCTTCTGCACATTCCTGGGGTTCAGGCTGCCCCCTCCTGGACCCCTGCTCCCCCTTCTCTCTCCAATTCGAGCTCAGCCCTCAGGAGCAGGGGAATGTTTAACTCTCCTCCACCTCATTAACAATCCCCTCACGTTCATTTCAGCCCCACGGGCTTGGTGTGGGTGCAACAGGAATGTCACACCCCTGCTCCTGCTCCCACCGCCCCTCGACTGCCCCCTGTAACCTGTAGCCCACCAGCCCTTGGGGGACTGCATGGGGGAGGCAGGGACCTGCTGCGACCCTGACTCTGGCCAGCTTCCTCCCCCAGACCTGCAGCCGCCTCTGCAGGAACAAGTCCCCAGCCTGCTCCCTCGCATTCTTCACGTGGCTATGCAAACTGAGAGGGTGCCAGGCACTGAGCACACAATGGCAATCCTGTGTGCCCGCCCAGAGCGTGGGCCCCTGGTATGGCCTGCAGCTCCAGGGAACTGGGTGAGTGGTCGGCCCTCTGAGGGGTCAGGGGTGGGCGTGGTTTGGCCCACAGTGTCACACACTGGGTCCTTCTTAGGTCCCCTTGTCAGGAAGTTCTGAGCCACATGGGGTCTGTATACTCACAGAACTGCTTCCTGGGATGGCCCTCAGATCCCCAAACGCCAATGGGGTCCAGAATGGTGGCAGAAAAGTCAGTCCTGAGTTCAAATTGCTCTTTCTCAATGATAAGAGAGTAGGATCCAGGGGAACAGGGGGTGTGGCGAGAGCCCCGCATGGGGAAGGAGACAAAACCCAGGACTCCTGGGGAGGCAGTGAAAGCCCCGAGACTGGCATTTCTTGTGCCTTGGTTCCTCTAACCCTTCCAGGCAGGCTGACCTGGGACAAGTTACAGAGGCTGAGGTGGAGGGAGGGAAACAGGAGGGAGGGCTTCTCCCTGCAGGTGTATGGCACTGCTTCCCCTTCTGCCTTTCACAGAGAGGTGCTAGCTTCAGATTGGGAGGGGCAGGCAGTCACAAGATGCCCCTCACAGATGACCTGTGCTGTGGAGCCTAGTACCCTTCCTTACCTCTAAATGGACCTCTACCATGGAGTTGTGATGGTTGAATAAGGTAAGTGACCCTTGGGGGAAGGCATGGGAAGGGGAGGGCAGCTACTTGGCACATGACATTCCCACAGATGGGGTCCTCTCTCTTTAAACTGGCCTCCCAGGTCAGGTATTTAAACTGTGGAACCTCAAGGCCACACAGAAATGGAGTGTCAGTGACACCCGGGTCCTCGAGACCATGAGCTGCAACCTCCTCTATTGACAAGTGAGAGAGCTAAGAGCCAAGAGGGGAAGACAGTCACTGTTGAGGGCCAAGGTGTCACAACTGCGAGGTCCTAGAGGCAGCAGGACACTCCTCCTCCCTGAACCTCCTGGTCGACATATCTTTCTTGGAAGCTCTCTCTCTCTTTTTTTTTTTTTTTTGGTATTAGAGATTAAGCCCAGGGTTGCTTAGCTACTGAGCCACATCCTCAGCCCTTTTTAAATTTTATTTTGAATAGGATCTCACTAAGTTGCTTAGGTCCTTGCTAAGTTGCTCAGGCTGGCTTTGAACTTGCCATCTTCCTGCCTCAGCCTCCCAAGCCACTGGGCTCACATACCCCACTGCATCCAGCTCATATAAGGTTTTGTGTCTGTTCTATCAGAATGTCCTCTCCTACTTTAGTGGACTTCCCTCATTAATGCTCCAAAGCCTTCTGGAATTCAGGTCCTGCTTCTGGCGTGGCACATCCTAAAAGGCATAGCTTTTCCAGCCTGGGCACCTGCCACTCTTGGTGGCTTCTGCAGTGAGTGACTCCCAGGCATGCAAGGAGAGCAGGAAGGGACTCTTCCCACTCCAGCCTCCCATGAGAGCTAACTGAAACTGCCCTGGGATGGCACATGCCAAAAAACTATTTAAAAAGTGCTTTCACTTAGATTACAGGAAGCCAAGAGTTCTAGTTTTATCTCCATCATTGAAAAGCTGTGTGACATTAGACAAATCCTTCAGCTTCTCTGAAAAATAGGAATAACATCACTTGTCCTGCCTGTTTGATGAGGGAGTTTACAAGGATCAAATACTAGGTGAAAATTGCTACTGGAACACAAAAAAATGTCAGAAGAACTCTGCTTAAGGAAAGCTGTCCCAGAGAGGCTCCCCCAGGGCCTGACCTCCCCCTTGGGTGCCTTCTCACTACTTCCTCGGCAACTGCGCCTGGCCGAGAGCTGGCCTGGATAGTGTTGCTCACTGACTCTTATGAGGATTAAACGTTTTGCCTCCTCCTGATCCAATCCAGCACCTTCTCTGCAGCCACTGTGAGAAACTCTGAATCTCAGAAGGGGTGCTGGTCTTACGACCCCCAACTTGGTCTGAGATTCCTGTGCAACCACAGGCTCAGGACAGAGATGACTTGTCTCAGGCCACATAGAAAGCAATGCAGCCAGTAATGTGGCTGCCCCCAACCATTCGACCTGCTCGGGCCCTGATCTGGAATCCCATAATAGTCCACATCATTCCATTTATTGCATTTAGCCACTGCCTTCTTCCTGAGGATTGTAAGCAGCCGCTTGAGTCCCACTGCCTAACCGAGGGTGGGAACTCTTGCAATGCACATCCAAGGGTGCCTTCTCTCCTCTGCAAACAGCACTATACACAGGTCTCTGGTGTCCTGCTGAGAGCTTTGCCAGCTGTGCTGGGTACTGGAGACCAAGGGCTGTCACGTCCAATTCTTCCCCAGGTTTGTTGAGTGGCCTTTCTTCTCCTCTAATAGTTCTCTGAGCCCTTTCCCTTAATCTCAAACAAATTTTCTCCTGTTGCTTTACCAAACCGGGCAATCACAGTCACATCTCAGTCGGGACCCTACCATCACCCTCTGCTTCCAGGAGGACTCACCCCAGGCTAATTATATACACTTATCTTGATCCAGCTGCCATCAAAAACATTTTGACTTTTTGTGAACTATGTAGAGACAGTCTGCTGTCTGTATGTGGTTAGCATATGTTGAAATGGTAAAGGTCATCTGCCTTGATGTGGAAACCTAGAAAACCAGAATGAGGCCCTTGTATATTTCCGTAATTTTGAGTCTCTACCCTGCGCTAAGCACTGTGCTCAGCACTTGGTGAGCATTCCCTCTACTACCCGCAACCCTCTGGGGCAGTGAGGACTGAAATCCCATTGTCGTGGTGAGGAAATGCTCGGAGGCTGCCCATCTTGAAGGTCACATACAACTCTAAGTGAGGGAAGTGAGTTACTCTCAGCACATGGGTGCAGCTGTACCCATGCAGTCCTCTCTGCACTGAGTCACCCAGTGAGGACAGAGAAGAGGTCAACAAAGAGAGGAACAGCCACTGTCTGGACTGGATCATTCGCATGGGCATGCTGACATGCAGTGCTAGCTTGCAGCCTGAATAATCATCATTTCTTGACTCCATATCTTCTTCTAAGTTCATCTTTCTTTTCTTTTTTTTTTTTAGAGAGAGAGATAATTTTTTTTAATATTTATTTTTTAGTTTTCGGTGGACACAACATCTTTATTTTTTATGTGGTGCTGAGGATCGAACCCAGTGCCCCGCACATGCCAGGTGAGCGCGCTACTGCTTGAGCCACATCCCCAGCCCCATCTTTTTTTAAAAAATATATTTTTTAGTTGTCAATGGACCTTTATTTATTTATATGTGGTGCTGAGAATTGAACTCAGTGCCTCACACATGCTTGGCAAGCGCTCTGCCACTGAGCCAATCCCAGCCCCTATATTTCTTTTCTTTTTTTTGTGGTGCTGGGGATTGAACCCAGGGTCTTGTGCAGGCAAGGCAAGCACTCTACCAACTGAGCTATATCCTCAGGCCTCTAAGTTCATCTTTCTACCAAACTCCTGGAAAGGTTGTCTGTGTCTCCCTGTCCTGAGCTCGTCCACACCACCTCACCAAGACATCTGTTGCTGAAGTGTCCACTGATCCCTTGTTGCTACATGTGAAGGTGGGTCCTCAGTTCCCATCTCACTCAGCCTCTGGGCGGCATGATGCTGCTGTTCCCTCTCCTTGAAATGCCCTCATCCAGTTCAGGATGCCTCTTGGTTCCCTGGTTCTCAGCTCTGGCAGCGGGTCCCACCGTCCCCATCACTCCCTTACTTCCAGACAAGCTGCCTTCTGACTCCTTCTCTTCTCCTCCTGGCTTTGGATGGCATCATTATGCTCCTTAAACTCAAGCTTAGGATGTCTAAACCAAACTCCTGGTTCCCGTGCCCCTCAGCTATTCCTATTGCAGTCTTCTCCTCCGCTGCCAGGGGAGGGAGAGCAGCTCTCCATCCATCTGCTTAGCTTCTTCTGGATGCTTTTTCTCACACATCCTGGACAATCCATCAGCACTTCCTGTTGTCTCTGACTAGACCTAGAATCCAGCTTCCCCACCTTCACTGCTGCTGCTTGGCCCAGGCCACCTTCCCCTCTCCTGGCTCACTCAGCAGCCCCACAGGTTTTCTTGTCTCCATTCCTTTCCCTGTGGCTTATTCGTCATATACGGTTCATGAAACCTTTTGCAATATATAAGTCAGAGTGGCACATGCTTGTAATCCAGCGACTTGGGATGCCCAGGCAAGAGGATCTCCCATATAAGCCCAGTCTTGGCAAACTATGGACACCCTGTTAAAAGGTCTGGGGACATAGAATAGTAGTAAGGCATACTTGGGTTCAATCTCCAGTAAGGGACACACACACACACACAAATTTTGAAATATAAGTCGGGTGCTGTTGTTCCCCTGCTCAAAACCCTTCTGGGGCTCCCATGTCCTCAGTGCAGTCAATGAGACCCCCAAGACCTGACCACTTGCCACTCTCTTCTTGGCCCACTCTGCCACTGTGTCGGCCTCTTTGTTACTTCTGCCTCAGAGCCCTGATTTGCTTTATTTTCTACCTCTCAGGATTATACACACACAAACACACACATACACATATTTACACATTTATTATCTGTCTCCTCTACAAAATATAAGCTCCATAAGGGAGGGCAAGGGCTTATTTTTTTCCCTACCATAATCTTACACAGCTGGTCTCAAGAAATAAATTTGGTTGATTGTCTAAATGAGTGCAGGTTCCCTGTCCAAGTGCATCTCAGGCACAGTGAAGGTGATGGGCTTGGTGCCAGGGATGAGGCCAGAGGATCTGCATATCCAGTTCCATGGTCAGTGTATCGCAAGAGCTATCCTGCACATGGAGGCCCGGAGGTACAGGGCTCTGCGGCCAGCCAGCACAACAGGATGCATGTGGCTGCCATGGGGGCAGTCTGCCAGCACACTGCTGACCGCCATTCCCTGCCAGAAGAGGATTAGGAATAATCCCAACCATTCATCCAGAGCTTTACAGTTTACAAAGTGTCGTCACACCCGATAGAGCATCTGGGCCACACAGCTGTCCCAGAAGATGGGCAGGATGAGAACTAGGATCCTCCACATCTGGACAGGACCCCAAGGCCCCTGGTTAAGTGTGGCCTGAGGCTTCACAGGAAGTGGCCGGGCTGTGTCTCGAGCCAGGCTTTCCTGCCCCCCACTGGTCACTGCATCTTTCCCAGAGCAGTTTCCACCAGGTGAGGTCTCTGCAGCAGAATGGACATATTTCCACTCTCTGAACAAACCACCAAACAAAAAAACACAAATCATTTATTCTTTGGTTGACCACACAGACACTTAAATACTGTATTGCTGTCATGCAGCTGCCCATGCAGGCCCTGGGGTAGCTCTGTGTCCTGAGCCTTCAGTCAGTCCCAGAGGGGAGTGGCATCCTGCCACATCCACTCCAAGAGCAGTAGCACCACACAGAAGGCTGTGAACTGAGTCCCCTCAGCTGAGCAGCAACCTAAGTTCCACTGCTCTGTCACCCTGAGGAGCAGCCAGTCCGGGGTATAGGACAGAGTTCCTCCCTATGAGTCCAATCACCCAGGCACATGTGAGCAGAGTGCTGTCATAGCTCATCCCTGAGCTTCGACTCACTGCCTGGGGGAGACTCTTCTCCAGGTTGGGAGGGGTCCTGCTGTGCATTCAGGGGCTGCTCCTGGGGCAGGTCCATCTCCTCTGGGCTGAAGAGCATCTTCACCAGGTCATCTGCCTGCACCCTGTCCTGCAAGGACAAAACCTACCCACTCAGAGAGGCCTGGGACCAGGGGTTCATCCTCCTCTGGCTGTGGTGTCCTGAACAATGCAGGCTGCTACATGGCCTGAGTTCCCACTTTCCCAGTGGGCCTGTGCCCTGACAAGACAGCTGAGGGGCCCAAGAAAGGAACCAAGAACTCAGCACACACCCCGGACCCTGTTTACAGGTAAGGAAGAAGCCTGGGGATGGGGCAGCGTGACAAGCTGCCGCGGGAGCCCCACACCCAATGTGCCCTTTGTGACTACTGGCAGCAGGATTTGGGGCAGGGGGATGAGAAACAGGGCCCTTCCAGGAAGAGTTTACTCAGCATAATGGGTTCTTACACGCTCACTATGTCGAGGGTCTAAGGTGAACCACAGGGCAATGGCACAGCGTTGCCCCCTGGTGACAGCCTTCACTCCATGCGGGTTTTCGGTGCCTGAAGAAAATCCCACAGCCCTTCCACACTGGGGCTGCACCTCTGCCTAAAGGGGACAAAAAGAGGGCATGCACAGGAGAACAACTTAGAAGAGCCATGTGCTCACTAGGGGCCAGGACCGAGGGCAGCTTCTGCCTGGCTTCCCAGAGTTCAGGGTTAACGGTCAGTTAGAGGAGCAGCTGACATATCTCAAAGCCACCTTGGTTTGGGGAAAGGGAACTGGTCACAAAGAAGCCCAGTGGGTCATTCTGTACACTGTACTTTGTGGAGATCAACTCCAGGAAACAGGATTTCTATCCCCTGGGGAGGAGGACAAGGGCACACTTACCGTCACAGTCTTGGCATCCAGTTCTGTAAAATAGAAGTTTCCTCCATCAAAGTCCCCATTTAGGTAAAGGATGGCACTGGGAAAGGCAGAAACATCCCAATGTGGCCCTTCTCCCACTCCCCAGGGCCGTCACCTCCACATGCTCTGTTCCAGCAGCTGGAGGGTAGCCTTCCAGGGGAAGGAGCCTGTAAGCAGCTTCTCTGAAGCCATGGCAGCCCACAGCCTTTCACCCTCCACCTCCCCAGGCTCCTGCTCTTGTCATCAAGCCCACGCGGGTGGTTACACTCCTCACCCCACCAGAAGATCCCCCACTGCTACCTTCCTATCAGGGGTTGGGAAGAGGGCTGGACTGGAGGGGACTGCTGGCCCTGGCCTGTATACACACATGTGCTGAGAGTGCGCAGGCAGAGTACAGGGCACCAAGTGGCAAGCACAGGCCTCCTCATGTGGCACCTGCCACCACATTCACCTGTAATCCCGGAAGGTGTAGGCAGGGGGCTCCTTGATGCACATAAGAGTCTCAGCGTTCAGGATGCAGTTGTCCACGTGGACTGGATGGCTGCTGTCCTTCCTCTCAGCTTGTGCTTCTGGAGCCAAGGGAACCGTGTTAGTGCTGGGCACTGCAGGAGATATCACAACTCTCCTATTGCATGGGGCGGCGCTTCCCAAATGTGTTTCAGTCCTTGGATATGGTCAACGAACTGAGGGAAGCTGAAGGGGGTGTCTTTGGCTAAGCCACAGCTTAGAGGTCAGGACAAGTATGCAGGGGCAAGGGGGGTGCAGCAGGCAGGTCTGTGGGGCTCCAATGAGGCAGGTCCTGGGTGGAGTGGCCTAACTGTCTGATGCTAGATTTTATGAACTAGGAACTGGGGGAAGTGAAGACAAGGACTCAGGAGGTCAGCAGGGTGCAGGGCAGAGTGAGGCAACTCTCAGGAAGGACTGCAGGAGGTGAGGGGAGGAGAGGGGGAGCAGCGAAGAGAAAGTAACTTTAGAGGTGGCTCTGGAGTTGGGCAGGCACAGAAACCACACAGGGAGAAGGCATGAAAAGGAACAGATGGGGCTTACTATAAAAGGCCAGACGTTTTACACTACGCAGGACAATGAACACACCTTTCCCCATTCCAAACCTTCAACAGATCCCATGACTGGCAGCACTGTCAAGTCACAACAGATGCCTCTTGGGCTGTCCCCACTTGTCCAGTCAGTCACCAGGCCCTGCCCACTCTCCTCAATACTCTCCTATGGTATCACACTCTTGTCTTGAGTGTGATTTCCTTTCTCCAAAACTCTCAACACATGGCAGCAAATCATAGCTTCTAAAAATAAAGGTGCTGTGAGTCCTCCATTGCTTGATGACTCCTCCCTGGCCTCCCACTGCCTTGGTCAGCTCTCCTCCACCTTGAGGCTCCATGACACACACAGTCCTGTGCTTGACATGTTCTCAGATTTTCACAGAATTCCAAAAATCTTGAGGGAGAGAGAAGACCTCTAATCTCTGTCACCTACCAAGGGCATGTCAATACCAGGGGCCCTCTGAAGACTACAGCATGACAGAGCTGGCTGTGAGCCACGTGTGACCCCTGCAGCCTGGCAGTACCTCACCCCTGCTGAGGAAAGCAAAAGGAGAGCAAAAGGGTGAGGTAATGAGGAATAACCTTGCATCTACTGTGACTTGGATTTGCAGCACAGCTCATTACTGACTGAAAGGATAAAACAGAAATTCCAGAATGTCTCCATAATCTGGCAACTTTCTTAGTTGTCTCAACTACTAGGCCCCTAAATGCCTGTTCCTTTGATCTGCTAGTCTCTGGGTAATACATCTTCTTGCCCCACTGTGAATTCCATAAATGTATTCATCCTGTAAGCTGCCACCATGCCTCTGGGAAGCCTCTTGAACCCTGGGTAGGGTGACTGTAACGTCCTCCAGGCTACTGTCACACTCAACATGTTGGGCTCCCTCCAGTTTGTCTGCACTGGTTCCCTCCATGTCCCCAAGGTGCAGCATAGTGCTGGGGCACAATATGCTCAGGGAGGCCGCAGGGTGATGAGACCCACCTTCAATTGCAGTGCGGCACACCAGGTGGGAGTAGGAGAAGTAGAGAGGGGTGTCCAGGCGAAAGTAGGACTCCATGACACGCCGCACCTTCTCCGTCACATTGTAGTACAGGTGGGCACTCTGTAGAGGAACTTTCCCTTCCTGCCCCAGCTGCCAAAGAGATTGGTGATCAGATACTTTGAATGCCCCTTTATGGGCCGCAGGGACACTGAAGCACCAGGCCTGATGCTGTAAGAGCCCAGGTGAGCATCCCCTACCTGCTGCCAAAGGTACAACCTCTCTGCTCCTCACATCTGAAACCCCCACCATAGTACTCTTTTCCCTCTTTCAAACCTGGTGCATCCTGCACAGGATACAACCCTCTGGAACCAGCGATTCTTCAGAAAGCATCTCCATAGCTCTGTGTACAGTCTTGTCTTGCTCACCTCATTTTTATCACAATGGTGCTAATACCAGAATTCAAGTTACCACATTTAATATAATTTACCTGTAATCTGTGACAACTGGAATATAAGCAGTAAGACACTTTTTCTTTTCTACCACTAATCCCATCTCCTTTCCAAAGTTTCAGCTTCCCCCTAGTCCCACCTCCTCAGACAAGAAGATTCCTCCCTTCTCCTCATGCTAGACTGCCCAGGATTGATTTTACCTTGAGGGCTTTGAAGACAGTGACTCCATAGAACTTTTCACTGGGGGTGTGTGGGGAGGTCTGACCTCGGTAGCCATCTCCTGAAGTTGCTGCTGCCTACAAGGCTCAAAAGACAAGGTGAAGTTAGCCCAGGTGGCTGAGGCCTGATAAGAGGTGGTCAACTGCAGGCAGCAAGGGGCAGACAAAGGTTCAACACCTAAAAGGCATGTGGAGGGGCAGGATGTTGGACCCTTGGGGAAAAGGTACAGTAGCTGGGCTTCCCTTACATTGGTCAGTCTCTGCAGCTCCCGACACTCATCATCAGAGATCATGCCATCCATCACCACTCGCTGGGAACCATTCAAGAGTTTGGAGTTCATGGTGAGACTGATGCCTTCATATAGCAGGGGACCTCCTGCAGAGCAATGACAAGGGACGAAACCCTACAGCCTCCTTGTGAGGAACAGAAATTCCAGCTGTTTCCTATTCACAAGAGAAATCTCCCAGTGAGTCACTTCCAAGGTAGGGTGGTCCAGAGGACAGAACTTGGAGATGAAATAGAGGTCCAAGTCTTATTCCTGGCTCCACCACCAAATAGCTACTGGCTCTTGGGCCTTACAAGTTGTTAAAACATTCCTAAAACCTAAGCTCCAGCTTCAGAAAGAACTGGCTTCTACTCCTGAACCTTCCACTTATTAGCTAGATGACCTTAGTAAGTTATTTAACTTCTTTGAGGTCAATTTTTTTTTTTTTTTTTTGATACCAGGGATTGAATTCAGGAGTATTTTGCCAATGAGCCATCTCCCCAGCCCTTTTTATTTTTTATTTATTTATTTTTTAAATTTTGAGACAGGGACTTGCTAAGTTGCTTAGAGCCTCAATAAATTGCTGAGGCTGACCTCAAACTTGTAATCCTCTTGCTCAGCCTCTGAGCTACCACCACACTCAACTCTGAGGTTAATTTTAATTAATTATATGTTCTCATCTTTCAAATGATCTACCTCATAAGTTTGGTGCCATTTGATGTTAACAATGAATAAGGCAAACTGATAGTTTATCATAGTATTCAACCCATACTCAAAAATGTTGGCTACCATCCACTGGTCATATCATGTAAGTAAAATAAGGATCTCAGAATCTGCCCAACTCACCTCTCAGATAATTAAGAGAAATAAGAGAAAAACATGAAAGTTCTCTGAAAATAAAGGAATGCTGAATAGACTTTTCACATGCTAACCTTATTATACCCACCACTGTCAATTTAAGCAACAGTAGGGCAGAAGCCAATATTTCTCCCTTATCACTCTATGGTGTGTCTCTGTACTGGGGAATTCCAGAGACTTGATTTAACGTCCCCACGTGCTGTGGCCTCAGTGAGTGCAAGGCACTGTGCCAGATGAGAGGGGCTAACACCTGAAGAGGAACCTTCCCACAGCCATGCCAACACCCAGCCCAAGCAGACTTCAATGACTGAAGAATTTAAAAGAAAGACGGAGGTTAAGGGAGCCTTTGTGTATTGTACCTGAGGTGGCTTCAGGGGTCGATAGAGTAGGAGGTGTTAGGAGGAGGGACAAGCATAAATATACATGAGCAGAGGGCAGGCTCAGAGAACAAGGAGCAACCCTCCTGATGCAGAGGTTTACCAGGGGAAGAGTAGGACATGCAGGTAAAGGGGCAGGAGCAGGGGCTCACGTGGAAGTGGTGAGGACAGACTAGATGAGAGGAAGTAGGTACAAATAAGAGGTGATGCAGCCTAGCAGGCCTGAGGCAATGGGGTTGGGGGCAAAAGAGATGGGCAAGGGTGGAAAAGGAGCCAAAGGATGCAAAGATTCTTAGTCTCTGTAATAGGATGAGTGGAGGAAGGCAGGAGAAAGGAGTTTGGAGTAGGGGACAGATGAGTTTTATCTTACTACATACTTCCTGAAGTGAATACACTAGGCTAACAATGACACGGGAATCTCACTTCTCAGCCAAAGGCCAGCTCTTGCCAGGAGAAAGTTAGGAAGGACAGAAGCCAGGGCAAAGGTCAGTCCTAATACCTGAGGGAAGGAGGCTAGCCCACAGTGACCTTTACAATGCTGGAGTGGGTGCTGCCTGACAAATGTGGGGTGACCTGCCTGGCTGCCCCTATGATTGTCGATGTGCCCCTAGCTCCGTCCTCTCACCTTCCCGGGTGAGCCTGCTCACATCCAAAGATTCCTTGGTCTTCTCTTCCACAAGAGTCTCAATCTCCTTCATAAGGTTGCCGATCTCCTGGGAGATGCGGACGGCGGTTTCCCGTTCTGACCTGTGAGCACAGTGGCTCTGAGGACTGTGCTGGGCCAGCCCTGGGCTCCCACCCCAGCTTCCCAGACTGGACCTGCCCACCCCTGGCCAGGAGTTCCCATCTGCCTGGGCGCAGGAAGCCTCAAATGCTTCGTCAGATCCAATCATGCAGTTTCTTCAAGGGCCTCACTTCTGTTTCTCTTGTAGTCTCTTGGGAATAACCTCTTCTGGAGTCCATGAATCCTGAAAGTAGACCAGGAAAAGTGAACTAGATAGGATAATGCACTCACCTACTTAATCCTCCAGATCTGCATGTGTGAATCAGGGCCCCAGGAGGAATCTGCCCCCTTTAGGAGTGAGGCGGAGCTCTCTAAACCCAAGTCATCTAGCTGCTCAGGCCCCTCATCCTCCTCGCTGCTCTCATCCCGGTGGCCCACAGATCCCCCTGGCTCAGCCCCTGGCAGTCTTCTCAGAGTTGTCCACTGTATTACTCCCCCACCCCTGTGCCCAAGAGGGACAAGCAGGGAACAGATTCCTCCTCCCTCCCCAACTCACCGGATCCACAAAGGGAATTCCAAACACATCATAAGCGAAGAAAAGCAGCTCTTTCTCTAGCAGGCTGCGCTGTCGGTACTCCTGGGCACTCTGGAAACAGTGGGAGGACTCTCTTAGAGCTCAGGTGCCTTTCGCCCTAGGGTGGCCCTCCTTGGCACTCTGCACTGCCCTCCCTGTGACTAAAGCCTCCTGCCCCCACCATCTGGTATGTTTGCTCTTCAATTTGGGACAAAGGTCCCTGTGCTCAAGGGTTCCTCCTGCTTGGCACAAGCAATGCTCTGAGGATAACACAGCCAGGCTTCCCTTGAACAGAAACAGCTCCCTTCCCCACCTTCCTCAGCCCCAATCTCCAGGACAGAAAATCTGATGATTCTCAGGAGATGAGGAAACATGCTTCAGCATTCCAAATTCCTCCTTGACTTCTGCAGGAGTCAACAATCAGGTAGGAGGCCTAGCTGTTAGACAACTCTCCTTTCATTGTGGGGGCCTGGGGGACTGAACCCCAAGGGCACTCTAGCACTGAGCCACATCCCCAGTCCTTTTCATTTTTTATTTTGAGACAGCATTTCACTAAGTGGTGATCCTTTTGCCTCAGCCTCCTGAGTCACCGGGATTATAGGTGTGAGTGACCATACCCAGTTTGTATTAGTCATTTAATCTTTACGACCACCTCTGGGTAGACACTGTTATCCTCATTTTTCAGAACAACAAACTGAGGTGCAGAGGGGATCTGTTTAATGTGACTCTACAGGAAATGGGGAGCAGGGATCTACATTAAAACCAAGGTCTCTAATCCTCAGGACCCTGTGCCTTCTACTCTACCACCTGCCTCCTTCAGAAAGACCGGACCCTATCCCTTCCTGAAGACAGGCAGCTGCAGAACTGCTGGGCCCAACACTCTGGCTTCCCACATGTGCTCATAGGTAGGGCTTACCCAGGGTAGGGAAACTGAGTCCCTTTTGGGGTCACATCTTTCCCTGGGTGCCCTTCTAGTGTCCAAGCAGCAAAAGAAGGAAGGAAGAAAAAAAGAAGACATCATTAATCGAAATAAAAGATGAGGCAGTTCAAGGAAGAAAGTGCTGAAGGAGCCAGTGAGTCCTATTAGCTGCTATAATTATCCAAGAGGAAGATGGAAATTTTCTCCTAAGGAGTTTAAATTACTGGCCTCCTTCACCAAGTGCTAGACACAAAGCCTCTGTGTTATCTCCTTTAACCCTCTCCAACAACTCAATGAGGCCAGGAAGCAAACCCACTGCCGCCACTTATTCACTCAACACTGATTTATGAAGTGTCAGCTGTGTCAGAACTGTGCCCAAGAGGGACAAGCAGGGAACAGATTCCAGGCACCACAAGTCATTCACAGGTCACACACAAGTTATTTCATCTACATGTCCTCCTCTCCACAGCTGAGGGGCAGCTGTGATGATTGAATAGGATGATGCATGCTCGGCCACCCTGCATAGTGCTTGGTTTGTATGGGAGCTCAACAAATGCTAGCTACCTTTAAGAGGAAATTTCTAGTTAAAAATGGTAGACTGACCACATGGGTTATTTTCCCTCCCCTTCTCAGACTCACTAATATAACCATAAAGAAAAAAGACAAAGAGCCTGAAGTGCCATCTTAAAGCCAGATAGTCACCATCTAGTGGCCAGAGAGAACAACTACAGGGAAGCAGGACTTCACATGGGAGGGGCTGGCAAGACTCATGATTCCAGAGCCAGGAAGGAGGAAGCTTGGCTCTTCCCTCAGTGTGGTAGTCTTTGTGCTATAAAGACTTTGTGCTATAAAGAGATGGGGAAAATGCTGAAATATGGGAAAGAACTGACAATGGCAACGAGAAGGTGCGATGGGTAGCGAAATGGAGAAAGCAGGCGAGTGGATAAAACCTAGCATGAAGAAAACAGTGATAGGCCTGGGCCAGAAGGTATAAGTGTCCCAAAGGGTGTGCTGAGATTGGGCAAAGCAGTCGCCTTACAGTTCTGCTTTCTGCACTGAATCAGAATGCAGATTGGGCCCAGATGGTGCTGGAGGCCCTGGCATGTTCCCAGTGCTCCCTGTGTTCCTTTTCTGAGTGACAAGCTGAGCCAGCACATGCATGTACATGTGCCCAGGCATCACAAGGCCCACTCCCTTACAATGCCCTACTCTCTGCCTTCTGGTCAGGGTTCAGGCTGAAGCAAGTCTCTCACCTGGCGTGGGCTGATGGAGCTGGCCTGCTCTTCTCCAAGCATAGCTGTATAGTAGGCCAGATTCTGGCTCATCACCTCATCATTGGGGAAAAAGAGGAGATAGGTCTTGGCACATTCGATAGCCTGTGTATAATTCCCAACTGTAGTGAAGGAAAAAAGAAAAATGGCTGAGAGGAGGGGGTCTAATCCTGGGTATCAGGAACTATTTAGTGCTCAGTGTTCTTAAAACCAGATGGTTACCATCTAGTGGCAGAGGGAACAACTACAGGGAAGCAGGGCTTCACATGGAGGGAAAGAAGGAAGCTTGGCTCTTCCCTCAGAGTGGTAGGCCTCCTGGTTTCAGTCTCAGCAAAGCTCAAGGCAATAATGACAAGTCAAGGTGGCACCAACTATATAACTCAACAGCCCGATTTGAGAGGAAGTTACAGAACACACAAATTATATAACTGATTTTTTGGTATTCAGTGTCAAGGCTGCCTATCACTGAGATGGGAAAGAAACAGCCTTCTGCATGCCCACATATTTAAAAATTCACAAATAATTCAAATACTGGCCAATATCCTGCCTCAATACACACAATCATTAGATCGATTTCAGAAAAATATTCCCATCTTCCTACCTTCTTTTTCCTATGGATCCCCAGAAGAGAGGGAAAGAATCACCTCTTTGATAGACAGCTCTTATTCATGTTAGTCTCTTCAACTCAGCTATGGGCATTGTGAGCCTTTGGATATATATAATGCCTGGCTCACATTAGGAACTCAGCAAGAACCCATTGATTTGTTGGTTTTCTGGATACTGGCAGGATCCCTGTGAGTATGGGTGCTATTCAAGGGAGCAGGGCTGGAAATGCCCTGTGAGTGGTTTAAACCCACTGTAACTTTTGCTATTACTTTTAATTCAAATGCAAAATTGCATTAAAATGTGACAAATGGAACAAGAGAAAGAGGTCCTACAGTCCTCCTCTCCATTTTTTGGGTGGCTAGAAATGGCTTCCTGGGCCACTAGCTTGTAACAAAGTATCCAGGGATCACCGGGCATAGGACTTCCCATACTCACAGAAAGATGCCCAGTGTGTTGAAGAGATATAGTGGCTATAAGCCCTGCCTATCCAGCATAGCTTTTTAGTTCAGGTGGCAGAGAGAGAGAAAAGAAATTTGGCCTTACTGTTATAATAGGCAAACTGCAAATAATTATAATGTGATGGGAGGAAGTCTTCAAAGGGCTTTTCTCGACTTGGGTGGGAAGCCAGCTCGGTGACACAGTTCTGCTTACAGCTGAGGACTTGTACATAATGATCTGAAAGGAATCAAAAAGTAGGAATAACTATGAGGTTCACAAATCCTGGTTAAGATGAACAAATTCAAGTGGAAGCAATTTTTAGTCAGATTCCTAGACTTAAAAAATTGAGGAATGAGGGTATGAATGCTGTACCTATATTATCAGGATGTTGACCTTACAGCACTCTGAACTGTACATACCTGTGATGGCCTGGAAGAGGTCAGCGTTGTATTCTAGGTAGTTGTAGCCATCATAGTCATAGGGCCCTTCACAAAGGGCTCGACACTCCTGGTCTGCCACAAAGTACTCTTGCAGTGCTGCCTCTAGATGGGGCACGGCTTCCTGTGGCTGTTCCTCTGAGTAGAGTCGCACTCCCAGCCGAAACTCATGCTACTGGGAAGAAGGAACACTCAAAGGCAGCTGCAGAGGAACTTCTCTGCCCTGCCACATCACCTGGGTCCTAATTCTTGCTCCTCAGTTATGGATGGGAAGGGGTGACCTGGGTGGCTGCTATACAATGAGGGCCTTTTGTATATAGGTTTTATGTGTTCTTTTTGATATTTACAAACATTTAACTCTTAATGCAGGCAAAAGATGAATGGGAATTCACTGTAATTTTCTTGTGCCCCCCCCCCTTTTTTGGTAGGTCTAAAAATTTTCAGATTAACGTAATTTGCACCTGAATATATCTTTTGTGTATATGTGATACTGGGGATTGAATCCAGGAAAATTCTGCTACTAAGCTACACCCCAAGCCCTTATTTATTTATTTATTTATTTTTAAATTTTCAAGCAAGGCCTCACTAAGTTGCCTTGGCTGGGTCTTGAACTTGGGATGGGATTATAAGTATGCATTACCATGTGCAGCAGAACATATAATCTCTCTTGTGGAAAGATTTTTCCTGTTGAACAAAAGATCAAGAACACTGAGGAAGCCCTGCACAGTGGCACATGCCTGTTATCCCAGCGGCTCGGCAGACTGAGACCCAAGGATTGTGAGTTCAAAGTCAGTCTCAGTAACTTAGTGAGGCCCTAAGCCATTCAGTGAGACTCTGGCTCAGTGGTTAAGTGCCCCTGAGTTCAATCCCTGGTATGAAAAAAAAAAAAAAAAAGAATATTGAGGAATACTGTACTAGATACTATAGTGAAAAATCAAAAACATACATGACAAAAAAATGTGAGTAGTAAATTAATATGGTATTAGACTTAGGATCCCAAATGTACCCAAAAGCTCATGTGTGTAAGGCTTGGTCCCTAATGCAGCAGTGACTGGATCACCAGGGCTCTAATCTCATCAAAGGATTGATCCATTGATCCACAGTATGGGAGGTGGCGGAATCTTAAGGAGGTGGGACCCACTTGGAGGAAGTAGGTCACTGGGGGCATGTCCCTGAAGGGTATGCTTTGTCCTTGGTCCTTTCCTTGCTCTTTCCCTCCGCTTCCTTGCCACTATGAAGTGAGCAGCTTTGCTCTACCACCAGCTCCCTGCCAGGATATTGTGCCTCATCATAGGCCAAGTAACAATGGAGACAAATAATCATTGACTGAAACCTTTGGAATTGTGAGCCCAAATAATCTTTCTTCCTTTTAGGTTGTTTTTCTCAGGTATTTTGTAAAAGAAAAGGAAATGACTAACCCAAATAGTCTCTGCCTAAGATGGACTATCATGCAGCCATTAGACACTGTGCTTTTAGCCAGGCATGGTGGCACATGCTTGTAGCACTAGTTACTTGGGAGGCAGAGGCAGGAGGATTGCTGAGACCAGCAGTTTGGGACTAGGCAACACAGTGAGACCGTATCTTAAAAAAAAAAAAAAAAAAAGCCAGGTGCAGTGGCACACACCTGTAATCCCAGAGATTTGGGAGGCTGAGGCAGGATCACAAGCTGGAGGCTAGCCTCAGCAACTTAGTGAGATCCTATCTCAAAATTAAAAAAAAAAAAAAAATTTGTTTTAAAGAAAGGGCTGGGAATATGGCTCAGTGGTAGAGAGGCATGGATTCAATCCCCAGTACCAAAAAAAAAGTGTTTCAAAGAAAATTAGAAGACATTGAAAAATGGTTCATGATAGAATGTTAATTCAAAAAGGTTGATAAAATTAGGTGCAGTGGCACACACCTATGATCCCATCTACTTGGGAGGCTGAGGCAGGAGGTTCGCAAATTCATGGCTAGTCTGGACAACTTAGGGAGACCCTGTCTCAAAATAAAAATAAAAAAGAGTGGGGATGCAGCTCAGTAGTAGAACATTTGCCTAGGATACATGAGGTCCTGGATTCAAACCCTAACACCATTAAAAAAAAAAAAAAAAAGGATGATGAAAAAATATACAAAATATAACATCAATTTAGGTAAAAAATTAGATGTGAAAAAATGGGTTTTCTTAAGGTGATGCGGTATTACCAATTAGTAGTTTCTGTTTTATATTTATCTTCTCTTCCTAATGTTGTGTAGCAAACATTTGTTACTTCTGTAATCAGAAAGCAACTCTAGCAAATAGCACTTTTAAAATAGAGACAGAAAAGGGGATAAAGTCTTGTTCACCATATGGGGTTTGGCCTCAAGATCCTTGAAGTCATCCTCCTTCACTCCAGACATGGTTTGGTAGTAGTCCAGGTTCTGCCGCATCTCCACATGCTCAGGATTGCCCACAAAGAAGGTGTGTGCTGCCGATACAGCTTTCTCCAGCTTGTTTATCTAAGGATCAAATACGAGAATATAATTCTGACATCCAAGCCCTGGGTTTGTGTCCAGCAGTACAGTCTATAGTAAACAGGAAATCCCAGCCTCCCTGAGCCTTTCCAAGCCTTCACTCATCATGCCCAGACCCTGGCAACCCCAGGACACACACTTATTTACAGGGATCACATACCAAGCATTAGGAGCACAGTGCTCCAGGCAGATTTGCAGCTATTTCCTAAATCGGCTTAGTGGTTCCCCAAATTCTGGGAGGTAATGTTTCAGTACTGTAAATCTTCTACTTTAAAATGAAGGACATATTGTAAGGGGAGCTATGATAACTGAATACCAAGAACCACAGTCTCAATGGTCAAATGTATGGACTGAGCTGAAGAAAATCTAAGGCTTCTAAAGAGCAGTTAACAATTACACTGTCTAGGAATTTTCCTGGAAAAGAATTTTGCTTAACAGAAAATCAAGAGGTTTTTGGACACATATTCAGGGCAAAGGTAGGTCTTTTATAAAATCCAGACCTGGGTATCTTCTGACTCAAAGTCTAGGGATCATGAGGTTAAAACAGTTATAAAAAAAAAAAAGTTATAAAAAAAATGTTATAGTTATTTAAAAAAATGTGCTATGGACCATAATAATGTCCACAGCAACGGAATCCAGCATATCAAATTCACACAGGTTTATATATAGACTCCAAAATAAATTAGAGGATCTAGTAGACTTTGGTGTCGGTCAGACCAGCAATAGATCTAGGTTTAATGACTCACTTGCTGGACTTTAGATAATTTAAAGTTTGCTTCCCAAATTCAGTTCCCTAATCTGTCATCTGGAGTAGCACTCACTACCCATCTCATGGGATTTTATGGGGTCAATAAGATGATATACATGTAGCTTTAAACACATGGTGCTCAACACAGATGGTGCTGGTATCCTTAATGTGCTAAAGAAGAAGAAGAAGAAAAAAAAAAAGCACACTAAAGGAGCCAGGCCTGGTTATGTGAACCAAGGTAAGTAATTCCCAGCTCTGTACCTCACTTTCTTTATCTTCAAAGTTAGAGTTTCTCCCATTTGTCCTCTGACGGATTTATTTCCCTTTATCTTTCAGCACAGCTCCTTACTTTCCCTGTTCTTCATTCTCTTCCTTTCCTCCAGATCTTCCTTACCTGTGAGGCACCTCACTCAATTCTCTCTTGTGGACACTGGTGGACAAAGGCACAGGTATCTTAATTCCCTGAATTGTTTCCACTGCCCTCACTTTCTCCTTCCAAAGCTTATTCCATGTGGCTTCTAGAATTAGTGCTCTAAAATCCAATTTCGATGATGGCTGTCTTGAATCTGCAGAATTTGCCCCTGAATCTGGTTTCACTAAACATTTTTAGTCTCCTCTTCTGCTGCTCCCCACACATATCCTGACCACCCAATCACAGCAATATTTTTTTTTTCTGAATACATCATGCTTGGGTTTTAATTTTCCCTTTACCTGGAACAGCCATCCTTCTTTCCCAGGCAATATTTAGGACAGGCTCAATGTCACCTCTCAAGTCTCTCTAATTATTCTCTGAGATAAAGCTAGATTTTTCCTCTTTTGTGCTCACAACAGCCCTACCACATACTCTTTTGATAGCCCTTACTACAGTGATCCTTAGCAGCAAAGCAAGACAATACAAAGAGTTAAGCATTTTAATCAGCTGTCCAAGAACTGGAATGTAGTAGGTATTCAATAAATGTTTGTCAAAGGATTTTAAGTAGTGCTGTTAAGTGACATGACCAAAGTCATAGTCCAATCATTTTAAAGTCCAGTACTCTTCCAAGCAACCAGGAGGAATGAAGGGGTACTACACAAGCAGAGTGTTCTTGCAGAGGTGGAAATCTGAGGTCCCCAAGAGTCTCTAAGTCTCTTTTTAGGTCTGTTGAATTATGAATATAATAGATACGCAGCAGACCTCCTTCTTTCCCCTTCTCTTCAATAAATGAGACTAATAGTAGCATCTACTTCACAGGGTACCATGTGGATGAGGGCAAATAAGTTAATAAATGCTGTGCTTAAAACAGCGCGTGGAAGTACATGTGGTCTATCATCATCATCACACAAGCCTGGAACCCTCAAAGCCTATTTGTACACAGTTGGCACTGTGACATTCCTAAAAACACTAATTTTCTTTGGAAACTGGCAGATTAGCCAGAGGGTCTCCCACAGGGTGGAGCCAGGCAGCCCCTGATGGCAACGTGGCAATCCCACGTCCTGAAGGAGCGCTGCAGGAAAAGCATCATTAGAGAACGAACCGGAAGGAAGATATTGTAGAAAGCTCCCGGCTTTTCACTTGGACATTTACAATGAAATCAGGATGGGAGACCCAACCTGCTGCTTCAGTTCCCTCTTGGAGCCATTACGGGAACAAAAGGTCAATCCTTTCTTGGCGTGGGACCTAACCCCAGACTGGACCTTTGGGGTTAACATCTGCCATAATAACTGGGCGAGGCGGGTCCCCTAGCAATTTCTCTGTTCTCCCTGGGTCTGAGGAGAGCTCCCCAGCCAGGAGGCCACCCTCCCTCTCTGCGAATACCTCCCTGGTCCTCCAGTTCCCCAGGTCGCCTGCAACCACTCTCCGAAGTACCCCAGGCAGGTCCGCACCTTGAAGTAGGCGACCTGCAGGTAGTTGTAGGGGCTCCGCTTGCGGAACTCTAACTCCAGCTCCTCGCTGAGTGAGTGAGCGGCCGGCGGCCCAAGGCAGCGGCGCAGGCAGGCGGCGCGACGAAGCAGGCCCCCAAAGAAGCGCAGGTCATGCAGGGCGGCGGCGCCCGGAGCCTGGGCCAGACTCGCGGAGGAGCCGGAGTCCAATTCCCACGGCAAGTCGGCTGCACATTGGGTGCGACAGCGCAGGCGGAGGGCGCGCAGGGCGGCCCGTGAACGCAGCGCCCGCTCCATGCTCAGGACGACCCCGGCCCAGTCCCCGCGCGCGTAGGCCGCGGTCCCCTCGGCGAAGAGCAGATCAGGCGCCGCCAGGTCCCATCCCGTCTCGGACTCGCCCTCGCCCTGGGAGGCGGTGGCAATCGCCAGCAGTATGGTCAGCAGGCTCCACAACTGCGGCGCCATCACCTCCAGAGACTTAGCGGGACGACAAGCCACCCGCTGCTGAGGACAGGATCCCACCCCCCGGCAAGGTCCTGCCCCTGGGAGAAGCCCCGCCTCTTAAGAGAGCGGCGCATGCGCATGGTCACACAACTTCTTGCTATCAACGTGGTCCCCGCCCCTCAGAGCAACCCTAGGGTTTGCTGGAGCTCCGCCTCCGCGTTCAGGCCGCGCCCCATCGCTCCAGCGTCCAGTGGCCCGGGAACACGGAAGCTCCGCCCACAAGCCGTTGTGCGCACGCTCTTCTGCCCAAGGAGGGAGAGTAGCCGTCATGGAGAACGCTCCGCTGTCTGGGCCGGAAAAGAAAGACCCTGAAAGTCCAGGAGTGCAGCAGGCGGCTGCAGGTCAGGGTGGTATGCGGGGCGGAGGTCAGCTTGGGGAAAGAAGTCCCCGCGGGCGAGCTAGTCTCTGGGGTTCAGCGGGAGGCTGAGGGCGGGAGCTCACAGCCTGTGTTCCCGGGTGTGTGTCGCAGGATCCCTGGTGGAGCTCACCCCAACCCCCGGCGGCCTGGCTTTGGTGAGCCCCTATCACACCCACCGGGTCGGGGACCCCTTAGACCTCGTGGCGCTCGCAGAGCAGGTGCAGAAGGTGAGGAGGCACGGCTGGGAAAGTGAATAACTGTCTTCCTTTGAGGTTTGCTCTACCTGTTTTGACTTGGACCTTACAGCCACTAAGAGTGGGGTTCTTGTCTGCTTTTTGCAGAGAGTGAAAGTCGACTGTTTTTCTGAGTCGGTTGCCTGACTCAAACTCTAATCTTCTGAGACCAAAGATACCTTCTACTGCAGGTAGAGTGCCCATAATCTCCCTCCGTGGGAAGGTCTGCAAAGCATTTTCAGTACATTATTTCATTTTGCACCTTAGCACATCCCTGTGAGGTAGGCAGTACAGAAGTTCTCTTTGATGCGTGAAGATCATTCTAACCCAATTTTTTCAAGGATGTATAGTTCAATTATTTTAAGCTGCTCCCATAAAATTTTTATCTGTTTACCTGAGAGCTTGAAGAATTTAACATATTCTAGGAAGGGTAGGACTTTAAGTTTTGCCCTGTATTCTCATTCACTGGATACAGTATTCTCATTCTCATGCTCAGAGCTTACACATTCATTGGCAAAATAGGTAAAATAAAGAGAAACTGCAAAATATCGGGAAAAGCACTGGAAGTTTGGATACATGAGCCTTCTTTCTACATCTTTTTTTTTTTTTTTTTTTAAACAGTAAGAACAGCCTTAAATGGTTGCAACGAAGAATGGAAGAGAGAGTATAGAACAGCTCTTCTTCCTGCTGGGGTGGCATTCACAGTTGCTCTCCACTCTTTGCACTTTTTTTTTTTTTAATTAATGCATTATAGTTGTGCATAATGTTGGGATCTGTTGTTACACATTTGTACCATGCACACAATATAATATAACTTCCCTCTTCTTTCCTCTAAATTTATTGGTACTGGGGATTGAACCCAGGGGCATTTTCCAGCCCTTTAAAAAAATTTTTGGGAGGTACTGTGGATTGAACTCAGGACACTCGACCACTGAGCACACCCTCAGCCCTATTTTGTATTTTATTGAGACAGTGTCTCACTGAGTTGCTTAGCACCTCGCTTTTGCTGAGGCAGGCTTTGAACTTTAGGTCCTCATGTCTTAGCCTCCTGAGCTTCTGGGATTACAGGCGTGTGCCACTTGAGACAGGTTCTGTTATGGTTTGGATGTGAGGTGTCCCCCAAAAGCTCATGTGTGAGACAATGCCAGGTTTAGAAGAGAAATGACTGGGTTATGAGAGCCTTAACCAAATCGGTGAATTAGTCCCCTGACAGAATTAACTGAGCAGTAACTGAAGGTGGGTAGAGTGTGGCTGGAGAAGGTGGGCACTGGTACTGTGCCTTTGGGGTATATATTTTGTATCTGGTAAGTGGAGTCTTTCTGCTTGCCGATCATCATGTGAGCTGCTTCCCTCTGCCACACTCTTGCACCATGATATTCTACTTCACATTGAGCCTTGGGGAATGGAGCCTACTCTCTGTGGATTGAGACATCTGGAACTGTGATCCCCCAAATAAACTTTTCCTCAACTACAATTGTTGTGGTCAGTTCTTTTAGTCATAGCAGCAAAAAAGCTGACTAAAACAGAAATTGGTACTGAGAGGTGCTCAGTACAATTATTGTTATTATTGTTATAGTTGTGACTAACCTGACCATGTGGTTCAGAAGCTTTTGGAGCTTTTTGGAATTGGTTGGAGAAATTTTGAGATGTTTAGCAGTGTAAGCTGGAAATACTTTAGATTGTTTTAAGTGGAGCTTAATGGCCAGTTCTGGTGGGAGCTGGAAAGACCAGAATGCCAGTAGGACTGTGGACAGTGAAGACAGTGAACCCTCACGAGGGTTCAGAGAAGGAGGACTCTATTGGAAATAGGGCTAGAAGCCATTCATGTTATGTTGTGGCTGAGAAGTTGTCTGCATTTTGCCTGTGTCCTGAGATTTTCTGTGAGGCTGATTTTAAAAGTGATGGACTTTTTCATCTGGCAGAAGAAATTTCTCTGCAGCATAGCATTCAGGCAGTAACATGGATATTGGTAGTGACTTTTAGCCAAATTTATTGTGATAATCAGGAGCATAAAGCAGAGCAGAAAGATTTGAAAAACTTGGACTTGAAATGTGGACTGAAAACTGGGGCTAAGGAAGTTGCAGTTGTTAAAGATACTACCACCACTAAAGAAATGTTAAAGACTGCCCAGGGACAATAAGAAAGGTGGCTTGAAGTTATTTCAGCAAGATCATATCCATCTCAGGCTCAGGAGGTAAAGGTAAAAATTCTCTTGAGAAGAGACCAGTGGGGCACCCTTCTTGCACAAGGGGGTCTAGGAGATTTTTCAACATGCTCAGCTACCTAGATACTCAAAGGTTTCTGTAGTCGGGGTCCCTGGAGGTTTGGCTACTGCTTGAGATGGTAGCAGACCTTGGAATCAACCATGTGGTGCTATTTCTGCAGGAATGCAGGATGCTGGAATTAGGGGGTCATGGAGGCTTCCATCAAGATTTCAAAGGAAGGCCTAGGAGACCAGGCAAAACGCAGCAGGATCAAGTCTCTGTGGGTTTCCACTGAGAGGCCGATGCATGGAGATGTGAGGAGGAAACCAAAGCTGCAGTGGAGACCCCCAAGATTTAAGAAATGTCAGTACCATGGAATGTCCCCTGAGGAAGGCTACAGGAATTGTACAGGCAAGCCAACAGAAAGGCCTCTTGGGCTGCAACCAACAAGGTCATGAGGCGGAGCTACACGAGCCCTTTGAACAGAACATCACCATGTCATGTGCCCCAGATGCCAGACTTGTTTGCCCAGCTGGATTTCAGTCTTGCTTTCTATGCCCCTATTTTTTAGAATAGAAATTTTTACTCTGTGCCCTTCTATATTGGATACTTGTAAACTGCTTTTGACATTTTTAAAATAAATAAATAAATATTAATTAATTTATTTATTTTAGTTATAGGTGGGCACAGTATCTTTATTTTTATGTGATGCTGAGGATTGAACCCAGTGCCTCATGCATGCTAGACAAGCACTCTACCTCTGAGCCACAACCCAGCCCTGCTTTTGATTTTGACAAGAGCTTATAATGTGAGGTTGCCCTATGTCTCAGAGGAGACTATGATCTTGAACTTTTGAGCAATCTTGGAACTGTTGAGACTATGGGAACTCTGGGAAATGGACAAAATGTATTTGCATTGGAGATAGTCATGAGCTTTAGGGGACCAGGGACAGAATATTATGGTTTGGATGTGAAGCGTCCCCCTAAAGCTCATGTATGGGACGATGCAAGAAGGTTTAGAGGAGAAATTATTGTGTTATGAGAGCCTTCTTCCAATCAGTGAATTATTCCACTGACAGGATTAACTGAGCAGTAACTGAAGGAAAGTAGCGTGTGGCTGGCACTGGTGACGTGGCTTTGGGGTACATAGTTTGTATTTGGTAAGTGGAGTCTCTGTCTCTTTGCTTTCCAATCATGTGAGCTGCTTCGCTCTGCCACACTCTTTCACAGTGATGTTCAACTTCACATTGAGCCCTGAGGAATGGAGCCTGCTCTCTGTGGATTGAGACTTCTGAACTGTGAGCCCCCAAGTAAACTTTTCCTTGACTACAATTGTTCTGGTTGGGTCTTTTAGTCACAGCAACAAAAAGGCTAACTAAAACAAAGTCTCAGTAAGTTTCTTAGGGCCTCTCTTAAGTTGCTGAAGCTGTCTGAACTTGTGATTTGCCTGCCAAGTTGCTGGAATTATAGGCAGTACCCCCCCACCCAGCTTGACACAGAGTCTTACTCCTATTTTGACGTTACTTTCAGACAAATACTTCTCTGGACCTCAGCTTCTTTATCTGTAAAGTGAAGGATTTGAAGTAGGAGAACTCCTAGATCTAGAGGAAAAACCTATTCCGTGAAAAATTAAGTTCCTTCTCATCCCCCCTTTTTTTTTAATATTTATTTTTTTAGTTGTAGTTGGACACAATACCTTTGTTTATTTATTTTTATATGATGCTGAGGATTGAACCCAGGGTCTCACACATGTGAGGCAAGCGCTCTGCCACTGAGCTACAACCCCAGCCCCCCTTCTCCTCTCTTAGCAAGACTTCCAGTCTGCAAAGATTTAGGGAAGATCCTGCTGCTTTAAAGCTTATGATATCTCCTTGTCCTTATATACAGTCTCATATTTGTTCTTCTTTTTTTTTTTTAAAGAGAGAGAGAGAATTTTTTTTTTTAATATTTATTTTTTAGTTTTCGGCGGACACAACGTCTTTGTTTGTATGTGGTGCTGAGGATCGAACCCAGGCCGCATACATGCCAGGCGAGTACGCTACCGCTTGAGCCACATCCCCAGCCCTCATATTTGTTCTTGATTATATGTTTGTTTTGCTCATAAAATTTATTTATTAAATGTTAACAATACTTGAATTATCATTTGATAATATGCTCAAATTCCCAATGTAAACATCTCTACTGTTGTTTTTTTTTCAAGAAAAATTGAAATATTTAGGAAAGCTCTTTTTTTCTTAACAGTTTTTAGTTGTAAATGGATCTTTTAATTAATTAATTAATTAATATGCGGTGCTGAGGCTCGAACCTAGGGCCTCATACATGCCAGGCAAGTGCTCTACACTGAGCGGCAACTCCAGCCTAGGAAAGCTCTTTTCTTTAAAACCTTATGCTTTTTCCTTTTTAGAGAGGGAAACAAAGCACCTTTTATGGATCAGGAGAATATCTTGTGTCTATGTAATCAGAGCACTCTTATTGGGAGGTGGACTGCCAGGGACAAAATCTTGGGCAAACAACCTTTTTATTTATTTATTTATTTATTTATTTGTGGTGCTGGGGATTGACCCCAGGGCCTTGTGCATGCAAGGCAAGCACTCTACCAACTAAGCTATATTCCCCAGCCCAGCAAACCACATTTTATTTTACTACAATGATCTGAACCAAAGAAATAAGGAATACAGTTTTTGTCTTTCATCTTATAATCTAGTGAAATATAAAGGATGCCTTATTGTGCTGCCTGAATTTCTTCAATGTAACCAGTCTTTGAGAAGTGAAGAAAAAACACTCTAAAGATAAGCTTTGAATCAAGTATAGTTACTGTACTGAAATGTACTTTCTGGCAAGACTGAATTCTGATACCCTACTTAAGATTCAGAAAGCTTGGGAGGCTGGGTATGAGGACTGAATTTTAGACCCAAACTGATCTATGTTCAAATCCTTCAACCGCCATTTACTAGCTGTGAAACTTTTAGTTTCATTCACCTCTATGAGTCTTAATTCCTAAAATGAGAAAGTGGGACTGTCATCTCCATCTTCATAAAGGTGTCACGAGAGTTAAATTCTGATGATATAAAGGTCTTTGGAGTGGTTAGGGCCAGTGTTAGTGCTTAGTAATTATAGGTACTTTCTCCTTTGTTTCTATTTTAATTAGGTTCTTTGATTTATAAGAAACAGATTCACTGCTACCATTTTAAGGAAAAAGAGATTTCTTATAAGACTGTAGAATCTACCTGCTGTAGAATCTACCTTAGCTGTGGAATCAACCTGCTCTATCACTAGCTATATGGCTCCTTTGTCCTGGGAACAAAATGCAAATTCTTTTACCTTGGGCCACAGGGCCCTACAAGATCTGTTCTCCATCCTGACCACCATTCAAATGACAGTATTGCTCATTGAATTTGACCTTTTGGGTACACATAAATTCCAATTCCTATAATTCTCACACTTCTTATTACTAAACAAGTTACTTAACTCATTTGTTATCTTTGACCTGCTGTGGTCACATAATTATGGCACATCGGTATTTTGAATGCATGTAGTACTAACTTTAATTATTCTTATTTTTATTGTTAGTATTATTTATTGGAGCTGTACCATAAAGTAAGGTAGCCACCAGCCACATATTTCTGTTGAATTCTTGGATTGTGCAGTTAGTGTGACCAAGGAACCGAATTTTAAATTTAACTTAATTTGAATTTTAAAACCTTATAATTGATTCAGTTATTAGAATTTAAATTTAAATTTGATACAATTTGAATACATGGATCAACTTCTTAAATGTAGATTTTGTGTGATTTAAACATAGGTCATGTATTTCTAATGAAGATTTAGCATCCAAATTGAGATGTGCTGAGTATAAAATATACACTGCATTTTGAATACTTACTATGAAATGTAAAATAACTCATTAGCAATTCTTGTTAACTTTACACAAATGTTCATAGCAACTTTATTCATTATAGCCCCAAAATGTTACCAGACATCCATCAATTGATTAACAGAAAATAAAATGGCATATGCATACAATGGAATATTGTTGAGCAATAAAGAAATTTAGTTCTGATAGAAGCTACATGGACAAACTTTGAAAACATACTTAGTAAAGAGTGATAATCCTTCTGAGGTCACTCTAGTCTCTCCTGGCTTTGAGAGTTATATGGTCTGTTTTAAGCAAGTTCTATAGCCTTTAGTTGTATTTCTTGGCACATGATGGGCAGTCTTCCGTGTAGATCATAACTTTCTGTCAGGTATACGTGTAATGTAGTGTGTGTGTGAGTGTGTGTGTGTGTGTGTGGTACTAGAGGTACTAGAGGTTTCAAGTATTATACAAGTACTGAGCTACACCTCACCCCATTTTTATGCCACTGGGGTTGAACCCAGGGATGCTCTACCACTGAGCTATATCCCCGGCTCTTTTTAAATTTTTATTTTGAGATAGGCTCTCAGTTGCTGAGGCTGGACTTAAACTTGCTTTCCTCCTGCCTCACCCTCCTGAGTAGCTGGAATTTCAGGCATGCATCACCATGCATAGCTAATCTTTGTTTCTTTTTTCTCCAAAGAAGAGTATTGCTGTGGTTGCCCAGGCTGACCTTGAACTCCTGGGCTCAAATGATCCTCCTTCCTCAGCATTTTAAGTAGCTGAGTCTATAGGTGTGTACTATGATATCTGCCTTCATAACATAGTCTTTTAAAATACATTTTGATTATCATTTAGAAATGCAACAGTAAGTTAAAATGTAGGGCTGGGATTGTAGGTCAGTGGTAGATCGCTTGCCTAGCACATGTGAGGCACTGAGTTTGATCCTCAGTACCACATAAAAATAAATAAATAAAGATACTGTGTCCATCTACAACTAAAAAAATATATATTTAAAAAAATTTAAGCTTTCCGGACTAGGCCGAGCTGTAGGCGCCATCATGGGAATCAACATATGCCACACAAGGACCCAAAGGTTCAGCACAAGGAGCCCAAGAGCCAGGACATCTACCTAAGGCTGTTGGTCAAGTTGCACAGGTTTCTGGCTAGACGAGCCAATTCTACCTTCAACCAAGTTGTACTGAAGAGGTTGTTCATGAGTCGCACCAATAGGCCACCTGTCTCCCTCTCTCGGATGATCCGGAAGATGAAGCTTCCTGGCGGAGAAAACAAAACAGCTGTGGTCGTCCCCACGAGGACCACAACAGATGACGTTCGTGTTCCGGAGGTGCCCAAACTGAAAGTGTGCACCCTGCGTGTGAGCAGCCGAGCCCACAGCCGCATCCTCAAGGCTGGGGGCAAGATCCTCACCTTTGATCAACTGGCCCTGGACTCCCCCAAGGTCCGTGGCACAGCCCTGCTCTTTGGTCCTCGCAAGGGCTGAGAGATGTACCGGCATTTTGGCAAGGCTCCTGGGATCCCACACAGCCACACCAAACCCTACGTCCACTCCAAGGGCAGGAAATTCGACAACGCCAGAGGCCGGAGGGCCAGCCGTGGCTACAAAAACTAACCCCGGTTTTACTGTTAACAAAGAGGCTTTGAATTTGGGGAAAAAAAAATTTAAATAGGTATGATGTAATTCAACTGAGGTAAATGTTAGAAGTATTTAAACATGAGAAAACAAATAGGAGTCCTAAGAAATACATGATTAGCCAGGCAGAAAGCAAGGAGAAAAATATATTAGGTGGAGGGGAGGCATATTCAATATATTTGGTAGCAAGAGGGTAGGACATATTGAAGGGCCAAAGAAATCAGAATGTGGCTAGAGTTCACAGTGAAAGCAATGGAAACTGACAAGAAGGAGCACTTAATTCTGTGGTGTGGAGTCTTGTCAGGGTGGCAGTGCCATTTGAGCTGGGCCTTGGGATGGATAGGAATTTATGTGGCAATAATGAGAATGGGAAGTACTTTAGGTGTAAGTAAAGATGCTGACATAACTCTTTACACTGGGATCTATATAAGAACATCATAAGTCATATTCTTTCTCACCCTGCAGTTTGGTTTTCTCCCACCTACAGGCTGATGAATTTATTCGAGCAAATGCCACGAACAAATTGACAGTCATAGCTGAGCAGATCCAGTATTTGCAAGAACAAGCCAGGAAGGTAAGGAAAGACTTTAGGCTGGCTGGCCGCTGGCCTGTCTGCCTCTCTCCCTCCCTCCCCCGCTCTCTTCCTTCCTATACTGGGGTTGAAACTGGGGTACTCTACATTTGAGCCACATCCCAGCCCTATTCATTTTTTGAGATAGGATCTCGATAAATTGCTGAGGCTGGCCTTGAACATGCAATCCTCCTGCCTTAGCCTCCTGAACAGCTGGGATTACAAGTGTGCATGACTGTGCCCAACTTCATTTTTATTATTTAGTTCATGGATTGACTGTAGTTGCTTATTTGTCTTCGGTACCTTCTAAGAGATGTAGAGGTTTTGAGTGAGATAGAAGGAATAAACCTGAGAGGTTATATTATTCTGTTTAGTGTTACTGTGATGAAATACTTAAGGCAGGTTAACTTTATTAACAAAACAGATTTATTTAGCTCACAGTTTTAGAAGTTCAGGGACAGGTGCTGGCTTGTTCAGCTCTGAGGGAGTGGGGGGTCCTTCTTGGCTATATCTAGTCATGGCAGCAGTGTGTGTGTGAGAAGAAATCTCATCACCCAAAAGGTAAGCAGAGAGATTTTCAAAGCTCAGGCTTTCACGGCAACATGTTCTCACTCTCTGAAGAACTCCCTACAGGAAAACAGTATTCTCTTCTCAGAGCAGCATCCCCAGGAACCTGAGGACCTCCCACTGGGTACCACATCTTCCATTAGCACTCATATCACCACACTAGTGACCAAACTCCCAGGACGTGGACCTCTGGGAGACAAATGGCAGAAATTGAGAATAAGATTTATTTATTTATTTTTTAAACCAGGAGAAAATTCAGTGAGGTAAAGCCTTTCAAAGGGAAAAAAAAAAAATGTATTCTTTTACAAAAGAAATGTACTGGGCTGGGGTTGTAGCTCAGTGGTAGAGCACTTGCCTCCCACGTGTGAGGCCCTGGGTTTGATCCTTAGCACCACATAAAAATATACGAACAAAAATAAAGATATTAAAAAAAATAGTAAGAAAGAAAGAAATGTACTTACCACAGAAAAAGAGGAAAGAAACTTAAGAACCACCCAAATCCATTAATACTCAACACTTTGAAATATAATTCTAAAGACATTTTCTTCAGCCTAGTAGCAAAATTTAATCTTTATTTCTTTAGAATTATCTGGATGCCAGTAGTGATTTATTGTTGTGGGGAAGCAAGATGCCAAGTGTTGCAGTTTTCACATTTTGATTGCGATGAACCCTGAGCATGAGTGCCTATTACCTCTGATCCTCATCTATTGCGCCTCTGTGGTTCACAGGTACTGGAAGATGCTCACAGAGATGCCGACTTGCACCGTGTAGCTTGTAATATGGTGAAAAAACCTGGCAACATTTACTATCTTTATAAACGGGAGAGCGGTCAGCAATACTTTTCCATTATTTCTCCAAAGGTAGGAACATTTACTCTTCATCCCCAAACCGACTCCAACCTTTGAGAAATTCTTGGCATGTGTGTATGAAAGTAAATAGACATAGACTGGTAAATTTTTGCCTAGAAAATTGGGGGTGGTGTGATCCCAGGCATAACTCTAATAAAACGTGTGTTTGCTTTAAATTACTTCATTTATTATCTCTGTTATGGGAATATCTGATATATATAATGTAACTGCTTTTCAAGTATGGTCTGACTAGTCTGAAGTGAAAAGCCAAAATAGAAATTTGTGGATAAATAGGAAAAGAACTCAGTTTACTTACATCCTGCTCTAAAATCAGAACCCACTCCTTTGCCTTTTCTAGGAATGGGGGACTAGTTGTCCTCATGACTTTCTTGGTGCCTACAAGCTTCAGCATGACTTGTCCTGGACTCCATATGAGGACATTGAGAAGCAAGACGCTAAAATCAGCCTAATGGACAAGCTGCTGAACCAGCCAGTGGCCCTGCCCTCCTGCACTGAACCCACCTTCCAGAGACTGACTAATTGAGCGTGGACTCTGGCCAGCAGCTCTCACAACAAGGGCCTGTTGCCTCCTTGTGGCCCCTGTTCTCTGCATTGATGGGGCAGGGTCATGGGATCTGAGGACTTGTAGGTGAATCAGGAACTTCTTGGAAGGAGACCCTATGTGAATGTAATTGCTTTTGTTTTTATTGCTTTTAATTGGGTTGGTAAGGAATCACAGTACTCTCTTTTGGGATCTCCTTGGAGCAACAGATGCCCAGTTGGAGGTCACTCTCAGTTCCTTGATACTTTGGCCTCTGCAAGATGGCAGCTTTCTTCATCAAAGCAGAAAGGATAAGAGTCTACTAGCAGGACAGGAATTAATCTCACATAGTCCATTCATAGAAGTGATGTCACCTTTTTTGTATTCTCTTGGTTAGAAACAAGTCTGCAGGCCAGCCCACACTCAAGGGAGGGAATTACACACAGGAATGAATACCAGAAGGCAGGGATCACTGCATCGTTGAATAGACTTAAAATTTGTTTGCCGTGGTGCTCAGTTGAGAGGAAAAAAGAAAAGTCAATTCTGGCTAAAAGAGGCGATATTACAAAGTAGTTGAGTGCATTGATGTTGAAGTCACAGATCTGGACTTGACTCTTCACTCTGACAAAATAACTTATATCTGGCATTCCTGCTTCCCCTCTGTCCCCTCTCCAGTCCATTCTGCATATAGTTAGGTCGATCCTTTGAAAATGCAAATCACCCTCACCATTGACATTTCCAACCATTGGAACTGGAGAGGAGTTATTCAGAAGAGAGAAATATAGTTACCATGCTGATGCACTCCCTGCACTGACCTTTAGGTAGTGCCATTCCTTTCCTGTTTAAGCCAATGATCAGGCTTAGGGAAGGCTAGTGGCAATGTCAAAATCGCGGACTAGGACTCAGTGATGATGTACAGTAGCTACTTTTCATTCAACCATCCAGCTGTCTACCCAGTAATTCTGTAAGTATTAACACCTTCTGGGGTCCAGGTTCTAGAGAATAATACAGCTGAAATAGGGCCCTATTTCACAGGAGTGCGCAGTCTAGTGGGTGAGGAAGCAAGCCAGTGACTACAGCGTGCTGTAAGAAGTGCTGTGCTAAAGGTATGCACTGGATATTCTAGAACATAAGCTTGGAGAATTTGGGAAGACTCTTTGGAGGAGCTGATTCCTGGGTGTTGAAAAATAACTGGGGCTCCAATTATCTTCTCTATGGGAAGTGTGTCTTTTAGGGGTTAGGGTAGGGTTCATTTTTGGATGAAGTTTATTTGTAAATGAAGGAAAGGACATCCTTTTACAGACCACATCAACCAGAATAATGAGCACCAGTATGGGTGCAGGGGGGATATATCCTGCCTAGAAGATTCTTATTTCTGACAGCTGGGGGATAGATGAAAAGTGGGAACAAAAGCAATTCCAAACAACAAGTAGCACGTGAAGGTGTTGATAAGAAGCAGCATGGCATTTGGGAATTGGATCCAGTCTAAAGTGAAGAATATGAGGCTTGTTGTACCAATGCAGACTTGTGGAGGTAGTGGTGGTGAGTGGGCCCTGGCCACTCAAGCTGAGAGGTTGACTTTAGAACTTTCACTGCTGTAGCACTGCTCGTGGCCTCTGCTTCCAGAATTCCTGTCAAGAATGGGGTGAGAGCCCAGAGCATTGGTGCACGCCTATACCCCAGTCACTTGTGAGGTTGAGGTAGGAGGAACTTAAATTGATGGCCAGTCTCATCAGTTTAGTGAGGCCCTAAGCAACTTAGTGAAACCCTGTCTCAAAAAGGCAATCCTGGCACCTCCCCCCCCCCAAAAAAAAAAAAAAAAAGGAAAATGAAGAATATGAGCCAGGGGCTATGGGAGAAGAACTAAGTAATGATATAAATATTAGGGAGTTGGTAGTGTTGGCTTTCTAGAAGCCTCATTTTGGCTGTGGAAGCTGGATGGAGGAAAACCATTAGGAGTTTCTGTCCCTAGTCCAGGCAGGAGATGATGGGGTTCTGAACTAAGATTGTGGTAGAATGAGAGGTACCATATTTCCTCAGTGGTAAGATAACACTTTTTCCCCGACATTTTAGTATCTGAAACCTGGATGCTTCTAAAAGTCAATGGCATGTCACAGTTAATGTGACATTTTTTCCTTTCTTCAAGCTGCGTGAAATAATGGTGTGTCTTATAAGGGATGGTGTCTTAGATGAAGCAAGACATTTTGAAAGTAAAATAAATTGCCATCTTATTGACAATAAAATGGGGGTGGTGAGTGAGAGGGAGAAACTTAGATAATGCTTGAATTTCTGGCTTAAGTATCTCTGTGGATCCACAACAAAATATGGAAGAGGAAGACATTCCTGATATTTTCCAGGATAATTAGTGATCTATATTTGCTGCAATAATCCACCTTGCTGACCCTGCTCAGGCTCACTGGGTTTAATAACTGATGGTCTAGAAGGAGGGCTTTTCCTTCTAAAGTTGTCGCTCCAGTCAGTTCATGAACACTGAGAGTATTAGTGTTGTAGATCACAAAGGTGGTGAAATCCTGTGTAGTGAGCAGGTATACCATTATCTCACTGAATTTTTATATAAATCCACCACCTATTAAGTATATATTTCTATTTTATAGAGTGAGCATCTGCTCAGATTCACAAAATGGCCCGTGGTTATAGAGATTACAAAGTGGTAAGTTTGATTCAAATATTCCTATTTGATTCCAGTCTGACCATAACCTTAATCATGTTTTGGTTGATTAAGATAGTCCTAAAGGATTTCAGTGTAGAGCTAAAAAGCTACATTATAAAAGTGATATAGTAAGATGTATATATGAGATACTATGGGAATAGTCCGTTTAGTGTTTAGTGATTGCATGGACAGGAGGCATACAGAAAACAGAGAAGTAACTTCTCTAAGGTCACACAACTCAGAAGCAATTGAGCCCATGTCTATGGCATCAAAACCTGTATGCAAAAAATAGGGCTTAGCTGGACACAGTGACCAACACTTGTAATCCCAGCAACTTGGGAGGTTAAGGCAGGAGGATTTGCAAGTTCAAAACCAGTCTCAGTAACTTAGATCCCGTATTAAAATAAAAAGTAAAAAGGGCTGGGGATGTGACTTGGTGTTTAAGCACCCTGGGGTTCAATCCTTAGTGCTCCCCGCCCCCACAAAAAAAAAAAAAAAAAAAGACAGGTTTTCTTTCTTAAGGAGCTGGAGACTGGGAGGAAGGCATTTCTAAGTGCCTAGACGAATTAGACTTCTGTAATTTAGGCAGATTTGATTCAGTGGATCATTCCTTACTTGAAAGCCTTTTTTCTTTGTTTTGATTTGAAATATTATATTCTGCTTTTCTACTACTTCACTGAGTGTACCTTTTCTGTGTCTTGATCCTCCTCTTCATGATACCTATACATGAAGGCCAAGTCCTAGGTACTCCCTTTTTCTCCCTACTGGGTGATCTAATCCATTCTCTAGGCTGTAAGTACCATACCTGAGCTATTGACTCATGTGCATGTCTCCAGCTCTGATCTGTCCTCAAGTCCACATGCACTTGCTTGTCTAGCAGTCATCTCCTACTTGGCTCATACTCATAAATTTAATACGTTCACAACTAAACTCTGAGTTTACCCCCAAGACCTGTTTCACTCCCAGTCCTCTTTTTCCATCAGCACCTATCTCATAGTTACTGAAGCCTAAAACTAAGTCAATCATGATTCCAGATGTTCTCCCCACTCAGTCAGCAAGGCTCAGCTCTGCCTTCAAAGTACATCCCAAGTTTGACTGTTTCTTATCACCTCCATCCTTCCCTTTTGGTCCAGATCACCAACATCTCTAGCTAGGACTAATTCTGTAGCCTACTAGCTTATCTTCCTGCATTCATTCCCACCCTCTTCTGTGTCTACAGAGACTTCCAGCATCATCTTTTAGCACTATAAATCAGATCACTTACCTACATTTTAAAACATGCCAAGAATTTTCACTACACTTGGAATAAAATCCAGACTTCTTGCCAAAGTTCCACGTGATGTCTCAGAACTCACCATGTTCCTTCGATGCCACCTTGCTTTCTTCTCACACACCAAGCTGTGCCTTCGTGAGGACCTTTGCCTTTGCTGTTCCATCTGCTTGGAATGTGAACTTTATATGCTTTGTGTCTTCTGCTCACTTAGGTCTCTGCTCAGATATCACTTCCATGGTTGCCCTATCAGAAATACCCACTCTTCTCACACCAGAATGCTGACCCTGCTTTGTTTTCTGTAGCACTTACCATGACCAGAAATGATTTATTTCTCGCCTCTCTTCTATGCTTAAGTTATATATATGTTCTAGGAGAGAAACTGTGTCTTGTGTAACTGTTATATCTCTAGCACCTAAAATAGTGCCTGATGTATAGTAAGAATTCTCATAATGAACTGATGAGCAGATGGACATATGTAGCTCTGCATTTATATCTTGCAAAGGATCTAAATTGGTACAGCTCATAGAAATAGAGTGTGAGCTACAAGTGTAATTTAAGATTTTTTCCAGTAATTAAAAAAGTGAAAAGAAACAGGTGATTAGCTTTAGCAATATATTTTTCTAACCCAGACTATCCAAACTATTACCATTTCAACAATTACTAAAAAAAAAAAGGCAACTGGAAACTTATAGCATGGGGAGAAGGATCTTTCTCAGCGACCCCTGCTTCCTTTCCCCTCCAAGGAAGCTGTGGCTCAAAATGTATGATTATATTCTTAGAATAAGGATAATTATGATGGTGAATTTTACTAAATTTTACTCCATGCTAATCACTTCATATAATTTCATTTAATTCTCACAATTGAATTTTACAGATGAAGAAACATGTTCAGAAAAGCAGTGTAACTTGTTCCAACATACACATCTGGTGTTACAGCTGGAATTGTAAACTTGGTTGAAAGTTAGTTTCATCTGAACATCATGCTACAGTGTCCCTTTAGTGGAGGGCCAGTTGAAGATCCAGTGAGATGAGGATAATGTTTTTACAGCATCTAGCACAGTACTGGCTGCTAGGTATCCCCTGGAACACTCCAGATCCTCTATCCCTCTTTCCCTTGCTGGCTGTCACTTGACCTAATTCCCCCTCCTCTGTACATATTCTGCTGTGGAGCCCTAGGAGCTCTTGGTGCAGTTTAGCCTTCAGGTAGGCTTGCAGTATGGGGCAGGGGAGCTCTGGGGCCCTACCTTAGGACTGGTGTCTGAAACCTACCATCCAACTACCAAATGCAAGACTCATGGGAGGTTCTTACCTCCTTCCTTTCATACCTCCCGCACCTAGCTGGGATTCGCCCACACACTGACAACTTCCATTCCTTTCTGTGGCTTTGGTCTTCCTGTTTCATATGTAGCATTACAGATCCTCCACAGTGGCTGTCAGAATAACCTTTCTCAAACAACCCTAACCAGATCATGTCCCTACTTAAAAATGTCTTCAGGGTTGAGTCCGAATTCCTCAGCTTGCTCTCTGTCGGACAAGTATTACTATGCGCCTAAGCCTTCTTTACAGGCACAAGGAGTAGTAGCAAACCAAGCATAAAAAAAAGGCCTGCCCACATGAAACTGACATTCGCGGGGCACTCCACGGAGTGGACCCCAGCATTCCTTTCCAGCTTTATGTGGTCCAACTAACTTCCAGCCCCCCCCCCCCCCTCACTCCCATTGCAGCATTGGCTTTGCCCAGAACAAATGCCCCCTGTAACTAACTGTGTCTCACCCACAAAGTCCCCCAGACTGGCCTAGATGGAGAGAACAGTTCCCGCACCTGACACTCCTCATGGGCCCTGCTGCCCCACTGAAAGACCTAGGGTGCCCCCGGAAATTGAGGCCCCCATTGCCTCTGGCCCGCAGCCCCTCCCCTACCCTTGGGATTGTGAGCTAAGAGCCAGGAGTAAAAGGCTTGGTCCGTGGCGCCGGTGCCCGCCTGGGCTGGTCCCCTTCTCTGCACAGGCAGGGGGGAAGGAGTGCCTATCCCCAGCCCCATCGAGGAATGCCTCATCCCCAGGTGAACGTTCGCGTGGAGCCGTAGGTAGGGGTTACGGAGGGGCCGCCCGACAGATCCATGCGATTTCCTGCCGGGTCCTGGCGTCCAGGCTGCCCTGGGCAGGCCTCGAGACAGCCCCGCGAGGCAGGAAGCAGAGGGTTCTGGTCCCCAAGGTGCGGAGTCGGAGTTGGGGGCCCAGTGCTGGCCTCCAGAGAAGGGGTGGGGTGAGCGCGGGGAGGCGTGGGGCGTCCCTGCCAGAAAGCCCACCAGCATGCTCGCTCTTGGCGAAGCCTGAGCTGCCACTCGTTCCTGTTTCTAGAAACTTCAAGGGTCATACTCAGCTTTGCCTTCCGGGGCGGCGCCCTACCTTTCTCCTTTCTCACATCCCTCCGCCACTCATCAGGTTAATTGCAGATTTCCTTTTTCCAATTTGTTCGCACCCCACAAACCACCCTCCACTCCCCACCAGTATCTGACCAAAATATAGCTCCCTTCCTGAATATCGCACCGCCTGCCACAGGCTGCAATTGTCACAACCTGTGACCTCCCTGCCAACTTTTCCTCCAGCCACCAGTCCTCTTGGGGACCTGCCTCCTCGCTATGCTTTTGCATCTCCAATTCCTTTGGCCAGAAGTCTCCCCCCTCCCACTCCACGTGATTCATCCTTAGATACCCTAGTTACACACTGGTGAATCCTTGCAGGTCCCCACCCCAGTCCCAGTGTCTCTTTCCCTATTGCATCCACAGCAGCTGGGACTTGCCCTTGTCCTATGTGTCACTTGTCCCTACATACAGTTGCCTCCCCTACCTACCAGACTCTAGCTTCTTGAGAGTGCTGGCTGGGTCTTGTTCTCTCTGTCCCCCAAACACATAGTACCTGACACAGTAGTCATCAGAAAAAAAGGAAAGAAAAAAAGAAGAAAGAAAAGTGAACAAATGGAAGATTTGAGTGGCTAGCAGGGGTATTGGTAATTCAGTTGAGACGCCTTCTTGGAGGCCGCAATGACAAGGGTTAGATGTCAGGCAGAAAAGATTTAGTGCAGTGAGAAGACTTCAGGAAGACCAGAGTGTTGAAGTACATTAATATAACAGACATTGAACACCTATTGTCAGGCCTCATGTTGGGCACCAGGGACCTCGGTCTGCACTCAGATTGCATCCTTTGTAGCAAAGAAGAAAGACAAGGTAGGCAATGCCAGTACAGAGTACCAAGTGTCACATGGTGAGCACAAGATGTGACCTTACAGAGGAGCACCTGCAGCCTCTGGGATGGGAAGGAAGGGTGTCAGAAAGTCTTTCCAAATAAGAGCACAATCCAACCTAAGACCCAAGGGAGGTCCTGAAAAGTGGGTAAGGGGTGCTGGAGTGGGAGAGGGTGCTGGAGTGAGCAGGGCTGGTATGCCACAGGAAGAAGTCATACTTATCCTGGGGGCATGCAAGAAGCTGGGGTGTGACCAGATGCTCTTGTAGGCCAGGACTACACAAAACCTCAGCTCTGACCCCTTGTCTGAGAAGCTTCCTTTCCCTGGTGGCAGGTTGGGTCCCATCTGTGTTCCCTAAGTAGACTGATCATGTTTCTTTTTCAGAGCAGGGGTTGGCTGTTCCTTGGGAGTTGAGGCCAGGTCTTAATCTTCTCTGTGTCCCAAGTTCCAGGCACGATATCTTGCTCATGAATACATGTTTGCTGAATGAATGGGTTATTCCTTATTTCAGTGGATTTCAACAGCCCTTACCCTCAAGGTCACATCCTTTCACATCTGGGACCTTTTCTTTATGCTGCAAATGACATTTCATTTGGGAAGGGGAGACTCAATTCTAGTCCTGGCTTCACCATTTACTGCAAGTCACCTACCTAATTCTGAAACCTCAGTTTCCCCATCTGTAAGATGAGGTACCCATATGAATGGAATCTGTAAGTCTCCACAGACATGCATGAGTTTCATTCCTCTGAGCAAGCTTTAAGTTCCTTGATGGCAGGGACCAGGGTTCTCCCATCCCATAGCCCAGGCTGAGCATATTACCAATACAATGTTTAGTCCTCTTGGTTGGTAGATAGCAAAACACCGAGGAAAGGACACTTAAGGTGAAGTTGTCAGTCTGAAGTGACCTTGAGCTAAGTCTTCCCCTCTTTGTTTTCTTTGCCTTCCTTGGAAAGTAGGGATAATAATCCTTGCCTGACAGAGCTCACAGGACCAATGGAAATCCTGGGTGTGACAGTGCTTTGGGAACAGAGTAGATAATGAAAGAAATAGTTCAGCACATGATTAATCATTGATTAAAAATTAAACAACCATAAAGTAGATGAGACAAGGCTTGATCATCAGAAGACTCAGGGCACCTGCTGACTGGTTTTGAGAGGCAGAGATGCTGGGATGCTGTTCTTCTAGAAGATAGAGGGTTAGGCTGACAGGTGCCTGGCTCAGCAGCAGAGGTATCTGATCTTGCTGGGGTCAGCCCTGAAACCCAGGAGAGATAGCTGTAGTAGGTTCATGGAGAGGGATTATGCAGCTAGTCCTTTGCTCCTTTCTCTTCCAGCTTTCCCAGGCTTGCATTGTTTCCCATCTTTAGCTTCAAGGGACCCTGGCATGAGAAGGTCTTGTTAGTCCCAAAGGCTTTGGCCACACAGTTGCTGGTTTCCTTTGGTGAACCTATGGGACCTGCAGTGCTACCCTGAGAAAGTCTAGTCCCAAGCCCAAGTCTAGCTCCTCCTAGCCTCTGACATTTTGGGGCAGGGTTTATGGGAAAGAACAGTGTTTTGTCTCAACTATTACTCAGACCAGAAGCACTTGGGGTTATAGGAGGGACTGTCTGGAGGCAAAACCTGACATCTAAAGTGAGTGAGGATTAAATGAGAAAATGACACAGGAGCACCTTAGGATCTATTTGTCTCAAGCCTGGAATTATATGTATGGCTGGTATGTTCACTCCAGCCACTGGGGCTTCTCTGTCTCAGGACAGGGTCTCTGTTTCACAAGAAGTTTATGTGTGAAGAATACATGTTTGATCTTAGGGTAAAGGCAGAGATAAGGCAGGGTGTGAAGATGGACAGAGGAGGCTAGTTCCTTGGTGCTGTGAAAGGCTAGATGGCCAGAGGAGATCTGGGCATGGCCCACCCCTGCAGGGGAGACTGGTGCTGCCTAGCAGGGCTGGCCAGTGGAGCTTTCTCACTGTTCTATCCCCCAGCAGAAGCAGCACCAGCTCCAGTGTCAGGCAGGGTTTGGATCTACTCACTCAATATGTAACTGAGCAAATATCTACATTTCTTTGAACCTCTGTTTTCTTGTTCATAAAACGGGGAAGAACAATAGTACCATCTACCAAGGTGGTCTGGACCAGAAGTAAGACCATAATGAGAAGCACTTGGTGAACCACTGCATGCTGAGAATATTCATTTTGTACCTTTCATTTCCTCTGCTGTTGGAGGTGGAACTGCTCTCCTGGTTGGGACCTGGTTTGGGCTTTAGGACACCTCAGCTGCAGCCCTAGTCTGTGAGAGAACAACTTTGCCCTGTGGGACGAAGGTGCCTTCTGAATCCACTGCTCTCTCAAGCCAGCTCTTAGGATATGACAAAGGCCAATTTCCCAGATGGAGGCCAGGGGGGTGCCAGGAGGGTCAAGGGGACAGGAGGTGAGTCAGAGAGCAAGTAGAAACTATGGTTGCATGAGTTCACCTGCTCTGCTACTGAGCTTTCCCAGGACCCTCCACCTTCAGCACCTTTGTCTTTCCTTCCTATGTCTCCTTCATCCACCTCTTGTCCTTAATCTAGCTTGTGACACTGTCTGGGGAGGGTGTAGTTCTGGGATGAGGTCTAAGGCCACAGAAGCTACCAGGTCCTTGGGAGCCTCTTTTGGGACTTCTTGACCTTGGAAACTTCTTTTCCCTCTCTCCTGGGCCCCAGGTCAATGCCCCAGCCATAACAGGAGGCAGCCCAAGATAAATGAATTTTCCTGGAAGGATGTTACCAGTGCCTTGTCCCTGGCCAACATGGTTCTGGGGCTCTTCTCCATCTTCTGCAGCGTCAGCAGGTAGGTCTGGGGCCCAGCATGCTCTTAGCCAAGTGCTGGAGCCCATGGCATGAGGAAAGGTGAGGGGGAGTCTAGAGAGGCAGGCCCCACAGCCCTGGGGTCAACTGGGGGGCAGGAAAAAGAACAATGTCTTCCAAGTCAGAGGCCAAAATTCTAGCCTCAGTTGTGCCACCAATATGATATACAACCTTCACTAGGTCACAGCTCTTGGCCTCAATTTCTCCTTCCATAAAATTGAGGTGCTTGCATTATGATCTCTGAAGTTCCTTAAGTTATGGAAGCCTAGAATGGTTTTTATAAGAAAAATCAAGAGATTTTCATCTTCCATTCATATTTTCTGATTCTTAAATTAGAACATATGACCTGGCAGAATATTTGAAATCAGCACTGTTCTGGAAAGTCCAAAACACATATTATGTGCCTCCAAAGCAATTTATATAAGCAAATTATGTTTCTATGAATTGAATCATGTTTCAATGTCTTTGAGAAGTCAGCTTCTTAAAGATAAATCCTTTATAATGCAAATAATATCCTCCTAATCTATTTGATTCTCTATAGCCATCAGCAAGTGATTTCTTTTTGGATCTTTTTTTTTTTTTATCCACATGAGAAGAAAATGATATTTAAGCTCCCTCCTATATTAAAAAAATTTTTGATTCTCTAATTTTGGATTTTTGGAGTCTAATAAATTGTGCACATGGGTATATCTGCAAGCAGAAAATCTCTGTCTTATTAGTTCAGCCAAATCTTCTGGGAGTGTGGTTTTTCATACCACAATAGTATGATAAATATTTTTTATTTAGCCTTAGTTCTCTTTTAATCCTTAGGTCTGGGTCTAAACAAGGGACAGGTGAAGTCTGAGGTTAAGCTCTCTGTTTGCTTCTGCTAGGCCACCTAAGCATTGTAGTCACCTTGCAGTCTGGGAATGGACCTCCTAGGACAGGTTGCTTAGAACTATGGTGGCTATTTTCAGAGGGCATTGGGAACATGTGCTGGACAAGGTTCAGGACTCAAGAACATGAGGTCTGAAAGAGTCCTTTGAAATCATTTAAAGCATCAAAATACACAAGACCACAACTGGTAGAACTGCAAGGAGAAATTGACAAACCCACCATTTTAGTAAAAGATTTAAACACCTATCTGTCAGTAGTTGGCAGATCCTGCATACAGAAAATCAGCAAGGACATAGTTAAATTCTAAAACACCATCAGTCACTGGATATAATTGACATTTATAGACTATCCAATACCAGTAGAATACACATTTTTCTCAAGCTCACTTAGAACATTAACTAAGATGGACCACATTCTGGGTCATAAAATACACCTTAACAAATTTAAAAATCAGAAATCATACAAAGTATCATCTCAGGTAACATGGAATTAAACTAGAAATCAATAATGGAAAGAGAGCTGGAAAATCCAGCACTATTTGGAGATTAAACAACATATTTCTAGATGATACATGGATAAAAGAAATCTCAAAATAACATCTAAAAATATTTTGAAATGAAAATACAATTTACCACAATTTGTTGGATGCAGGAAAAGCAGGGCTTAGATGGAAATTCATAGCCTTGAATACATTTACAGTCATGCATTGCTTAACAATGTGATGTTCTGAGAAACAAAACAGTAGGTGATTTTGTTGGAATATCATAAACTAAGAAAGCTGTGACATCACTAGGTGATATCTTCTGGGACCACTGTCTTTTATATTATACATATGGTTTGTAGTAGACTAAAATGTCATTATATGGTACATTGCTGTATTAGAAAATAAGATCAAAAATCAATAATCTAAACTTTCACCTTCAGAAACAAGAAAAAGAAGAGCAAATTCAGAGCAGAAAAAAAGAAATAATAAAAATAGGGTTAGCAATATAGCTCAGCAGTGGAGCACTTGCCTCACATGTGCAAGGCCCTGAGTTCAACCCTCAGTTCCACACAAAAATAAAAAATAGAGTGGCAATTAAAGAAATTAAAATAGGAAATTAATAGAGAAAAATCAATGGAATCATTAGCTGATTTTTTGAAAATGTCAATAAAATTGATATACTTCTGACCAGGATAACCAAGAAAAAGGAGAGAAGACACAAATTACCAATATCAGAAATTAAAGAGGGGCCATCACTACGTTCGTACAAATGTGATAGCCTGGGTGAAATGGATCAATTCCTTAGAAGATATAAGCTACCAAAACTCACACAAGGAGAAACAGATCATCTGAATAGGTTTATATCTATTAAATAATTCATTTAGCATGTACCCCTCATTTTGCAAGTGGAGGGGAAAAGGCCTAGAGCAGGATAGTGATTTATCTGAGAATTCATGATGAGATGGTGGCAGGGGCTGGATTAGGACCTAAGAATGATACCTGGGCCATCAAATATGCCTGGAATTTAGAGTCAGAGGGAGCCTTAGAGATTACCCACAGGGATTTAGAGAAATCCTTTAAGAGGATGGGTTAAACTGGGCCCAGTGGCACATGCCTGTAATCCCAGTGTCTCTGGAGGCTGAGACAGGATGATAGCAAGTTCAAGGCCAGCCTTGGCAATTTAATGAGACCCTGTCTCTAAATCAATAGATCAATCAATCAGTTGATCAATTGAAAAGGCTTGGGGTGGTTAGCTCAGTGGTATATTGAACTCTGGGTTCAGTCCTTAGAACCAAAAGATAAAAAATAAAAAAAGACTATGGGTTATGTGTTTGAGAAGGATATAGGTGTATGTGAGGGTATGAGTGTATATGAGTGTAAGGTGGAATATACTAGAAAGGAGGTGAGCATAGAGGATATGCTTGGGTGGGCATAAGTGTTCAGGGAGTATATTAGTGTATTGGTGGCGGGAGAAGTTGTCCAGTGGAGACTTAAATGAACTGACCTGTTTGGGCCTGCTGGCCTGCACTTCAGGAAACCTCAGTCTGCCTCCTGGACGCTTCTGATCAGCTTCCTGCTAGACATGGCAATAGGGGCTATGAACAGACAATTCAACATATTATGCAAATCAGGTGAGTCCTGGCTTCAGGCCCCAAATCCCTTCCCCTGGGAGCGTCCATCTTGGGTCACTACCCACCCTCTAACATCCAGCAGACTTTTTCACCATCTCTCATTTCTGTTCATGTGCATCTAAGAATAGCTGAGCAGCCCTGGAGCAGGAGTTAGGGAGCCTTGCAGCCTAGATCAGCTCCTCTGCAGGCTCACTTATCCATCTTTGGGTAATTTTTGTCCTGGCATTCAGTATCCTCATTGGCCCTGCCTCCCTGTCCTGGGTGGATCCAAGTATTAGAGAGGAAGTGGGGAAGGTGGGGGGGGGGGGCAGTGGGGAGATGAAAAACTACCTTAGGCAGAGCATCTGGTTTAAGATTCCAGGAAATGTTTCCCTATAAGATTTGGCTTGCATAAAGGGTCCCACTGCTTGTCGTTTTGCAGTCGATTGTAATGCAACTTTTAAGTTATGGGGAAACTAATACCTGGAAGGATTTGCCAAAGGCCACAAGGTCATTCAGAGGCAGAGCTTGGAGGAGACCCCAGACTTTGATCTACAGACCACTCTAGGGACCTTAGGACCCCTCCAGCTCTGCCCCCGACCCCATGTCCACCCAGGAAGGCTAAGGTGACAACATATGAGTGTTGGGCCTCTCGAACAGGAGCTGAGCTGAATGACTTTGCTGTCTTCACCACCTTTGGCCTGGCCTCGGCCCTTCTCCTTGGTGCGGATGGGCCGCTGAATGGGTTCCTGGCCGTCCTCTATGTGTTAACCACTTCTTTCCGCCTGTGTTTTTATTCATCTGGTGAGTGGAACCCACGTAGCCTTAGGAAGGTGAGGGTAGGGCACCACAGAGAGGAAGGAGCTGTTGGAAGCTAGAAGCCCTCTTCCTTCCTTCTTGCATGCCCCAAGCCCCGCAAAAGTTTCAGGCTACCTTGATAGAGTCCTCATCTGAGAGAGGTCTTCATTTATTGGATCAACTGTACCTCTTTCATTGTGTGGTTTTTGGTTGGAGAACATCATTTCATGGACTCTAGAAATGGGGGTCATACTCCAGTTCCCCCCGAAACAGGAGAAAGCTAACCGTGGTAAGGGAAGTTTCTTTCCTAAGGCCACAAAGATAGGGAGGGCAAGTACAGGAGGGGCAGAGGGGAGATGAAAAACTACCTTAAGCAGAACATCTGGTTTAAGATACCAGGAAATGTTTCCCTGTAAGATTTTGCTTGCATAAAGGGTCCCACTGTTTGTCATTTTGCAGCTGATTGTACTGTAGCCTTTAAGTGATGGGGAAACTAAAACCTAGAGAGGGAAGGATTTGCCAAAGGTCACAAGGTCAGTCAGAGGCAGAGCTGGGAGGAGACCCCAGACTTTGATCTACAGACCACTCTAGGACCCTATCAGCAGGGACTTCCCAGGGGCCAGGGTACATGCAAACCCACACAACATCTGTTTTGAACAACTAAGTGATTCTGCAGCTGCCACTGCCTCTGGGCCCAAGGGAATTTTGTAGTCTAGGAGGGAAGATCCAGGGTTGGGGATGTAGCTCAGTAGGAGAGCACTTGCCTAGGGTGTACAAGGTATTGGGTTCAATTACCAGTACCACAAACAAATAAGCCTAAGGAGGGAAGACCCAGAGAGAAGGGGGATGGATTCATTTAGATGCCCCTAGATCAGGAGAAGCAGCTAACCTGACCCCATGTTTCTTTCCCTGGCAGAAGTTTCCTTATCCTATAAGGGTCTACCCTGCCCCTATGCTTCCTGTGTTTTGGCTTCCACCTCCCTTCTGACCAAAGGCAACCCTTTCATCCTCGGCTGCATGGCTTCACTTATGATGCTATTCATGATAGACCAGAGCTACTACCCATATGATGAAATTCTGGAGTCAGACAGTTGGAAAAAAGCAGTTTATGTGGGAGGTGAGTGAAAATACTCTTTCAAATGTCACTAGTGGTGGATCTATTAATATTGCCTTTCCTGGCTACCCCAGAATTCCCTATCTACTCTTCTACCTTGCTTTATTTTTCACCATAGAATTCATCATCATCTGACACAGTATATATTTACTAGTTTTTAAAAATGATCTGTGAACACTTAACCTACACTTCTGAGCGTAGTGGCACATGCCTGTAATCCTAGGAACTCAAGAGGCTGAGGCAGGAGGATTGCAAGTTTAAGGCCAGCCTCAGCAGCTTAGTGAGACCCTGTTTCAAAATAAAAATAAAAAAAGGACAGGGGATGTAGCTCAGTGATAAAGTGCCCCTGGGTTCAATTCCCAGTAACAAAACCAAACAGACACTAAATCTACCCCAAATCCGTTCTCTTGTATTAATATACTATAATCCCCAATTCCTAGAATTATACCGATAAATTATACCAAGCATTATGCCAATGTTTAATCATTATTTGTTGAATGTTAATGAGTTCTATAGAAATTTAGGGAACACCTATTATGTGCCAGGTACTGGGAAGCAATCTACACATAGTTCCTGCCTCAGAATTGACAGATGGGGGAGAAAGACACCAAAGTAGAAATAACTAGAAGCATATGGTCTTTTTTTTCTTCCAGTACTGGGAATTGAACCCAGGTTGCTCTACCACTGAGCCACATCCACAGCTACCTCCTTTTTTTGAGACAGGATCTTGTTAAGTTGCTGAGACTGACCTTGAAGTTGCAATTCTCCTGCCAGACTAGAAATAGATAGTTTTGGTGTACCACGAAGAACAGGATGATGCTCTGAGACAGTGTCATAGAGTGGCCTGGTATAGATTGAGATGGCCTAAAGGGAGGGAAAGGATCCTTAAGGTAGTACATTTAAGTGAGTCCTGCAAGTTGAGCCTTCAGGTGAGTAGGAGGCTCAGACAGAGGAAACAGTTTTTTGTTCTGAGCCAGAAGGTGTTGGAAGTATTAGCGGAGCGGTGTGGCTGGAACTTGCCAAGAACCCGTGATACAAAATGAGACCAGTGAAGTAGGCAGTTTAGACAGGATTGGGATTTGATCTAAAGGCCAATGAGAAACCTCAAGCATATTTTTGCAGGAAGTGACGTGATCAGGGAGGCAGTTTCCAAGGATCACTCTGACTCCATTGTGGAGAACAGAGGTAGAGCCCTGAGGCTGGAAGCAGGAAAGCCAAACTTTTGTTCAGATGGGAGAAGATGATAGTGTGGAGCTGAGAAGTGACTGGACTTCAGAAACATGTTGAAATAGAGTAGATGCCATGGGAAGGGGAGGAGTCCTGGGTGACTCAGAAGTTTTGAGTTTAAGCAATCCAGCGCTGGGTTTCAGGCTCTGATGTTCCTGCCACACTGGGGCCCTGGAAGATGTCTTCCTAGTTTTTTCCTTCATTTACAGCTTTCTTTAAGGAATTTTGATTTTTTTTCTTTTAAAATGTGCACACATAAGCAAAACAATAATCTTGGGGATACTGTTTTTCCCATTATTCCTTTGTGGTGAGTCTGCTGTAGTTTATAGGGTCCTTGGTTCTATCCTGATCTTGCCTTTAGGGTTCATACCTTTTGTAGCATTAGCACCAACAACCCTATCCAAGTTCTCAGTGCTGGCCCTTCCTATTCCTTAGGTGGTGGAGGCAGAATGGTGGTGAGAATCTGGGTTTTGAGCTTAACAGATCTGAGTTCAAGTTCTAATTTCAGCACATAGTAGCTGTGTGACTTGGCTAATACCTCATTGTTTTGAGCTCATATTTTTCATCTGTGAAACAAAGGCAAAAATCCCTACTTTGCAGGATCATTGAAGTAAGATGAGGTAATTCTGAATTCTCTGGCACAGATGTGTGCCAGAGGTGATAACTCCTAGCCAACCCCCCACCCCCCTGCACTCCGTCTTCTCCAGCTTCCCTTTCCAAACTCACAACAAGATTTCCCACAGTGTTCTTTGCTCCTGTAGATACTACTGATGCTCTCTTCTCAAAGTAAACCATGCATTTGGCCTCAGCCTTCCAGGTTGTCTTGGCTATGTGAGACAAGGAGGAAACTGTATCTCACAGATTTTGACACCAGTTAATACATGAATCTCATTGGGTGGATTTCCAGATGGCTGCTGTTAGCTTTATTCATAGTAGCTAAGCTATGGAACCAACCTAGGTGTCCTTCAACAGATGAATGGATAAAGAAAATGTGGTATATATACACAATGGAATATTACTTAGTCATAAATAAGAATGAAATTGTGGCATTTGCTGGTAAATGGATGGAACTGGAGACTATCATGCTAAGTGAAATAAGCCAATAGCAAAAAAAAACCAAAGGGTGAATATTCTCTCTGATATGTAGATGCTAACACACAGTGTGGGGTAGAGAATAGAAGTTCATTGGATCAGACAAAGGGGAATGAAGGGAAGGGAGGAGGATGGGAATAGGAAAGACAGTAGAATGAATCAGACATAACTTTCCTATGTTCATATATGAATACACAACCAGTATGACTCCACAGCATGTACAACCACAAGAATCTGAAGTTATACTTCATATGTTAATATGTCAAAATATATTCTATTGTCATGTATAGCTAAAAAGAACAAATAAAAAAGATGGCTGCTATTGATATTCCTCTTGCCTGAAAAACAGACAATTCTAAACTATAAGATTATTATGAAGTATAGATAATATAATTTATGCACAATATCTAGCAGAATATTTAGATATGCCACTAATGAGGCTGTCCTTTGCCTTTTTGGTGGTGAATCTGAGGTTCAACTTGTATTGGGAGTCCCCAAGACCACTTCCAGGTTTGGTGATTTGTTAGGAGGATCCACAGGACTCAGCATCTTATCTTATTCAGGGCTATGATTGATTAGAGAAAAAGGATACAAAGCAAGATCAGCACAAAGGAAAAGTGCATGGGATGAGGCTCAGAGGAAACTGAGTGCAAGCTTCCAAGAGTTCACTTGCAGTGGAATCACACAGGCACGCTTAATTCCTCCAGCACTGAATTGTCATGATTCATGTTTTGTTGTTTGCTAGGGAAGCTCAATAAGAGACTTGGTTTTTACTGTGGACTGGTCACCTAGGAACTCTCTACCCAGCATGTACCCAAGTCCCAAACTCTCAAAAGTAAAGCAGGTATTCAGCACAAACCACTGGGCTTGGACAGCCTAGACACAATGAGTCACTCAGATCACTTAGAAGTTTCCTATTAACGTGGGATCTGCTGGCCATGGCCAACCTTGCACCCAGGCCTTTCTAGGGATGGCAGTCTCAGGCCTGCTGTGTTAACTCCTTCCTGCATACATAAAATATGGTATTGCCCATTTTTCCATATTAAACTCAAAGTAATTAGGAAGATTCCCCCTTTCGCCAATGAAGGATCTGGGCAACTCACATTTATTCTTCCTAGGACTGGTTTCTTCCAAAAAAAAAAAAAAAAGGAAATATAGAAGTGTATTAAGGTACAATTGTCTAGTTATTTGCAAAAATCCACTAAACTGAACTTAAAGACAGGGCTCCTGTCTCTTTTTTGCTGCTAAGTGTCTGGGGGCTGGGGTTGTGGCTCAGTGGGAGAGCGCTTGCCTAGCATGTGTGAGGCACTGGGTTCGATCCCCAGCACCACATAAAAATAAATAAAGATAAAGGTATTGTGTCCATCTACAACTAAAAAACTATAAAACAAACAAACAAACAAACAACTGAATGTCTGTTTTGCTTCTTCCAGGTGTCTTCATGGTGTTTTTCTTCCCATTCTCCCTCACTGCGTTTTACTGTCTGATGTGGTCACTCTCCTACATCTTCTTCCCAGATGCTGTGTGGAGCAGGGCAGCCTGTTTTAGATTCTAGCACTGAGGAGCTGCAGCTCTACCAACTCCTGCTGACCTTTGTGGGATTTGTTCCAGCATATCGGGCCAAGCCTGGCCTTATTTAACCTCACTAAAGCTTTTACTTGTGCCTGTGTTGTCATTTGCTAGATAATGCAATCTCTGTTGTCTTGAATCACAGCAACCCACAGTAGGCCTGGAAGCCATTGCTTCTTTCTCTTTATTCAGGGTTCTGGTTCTCTTTGAGGCAAGACTTGTACATGTCATGTGGAACAGATTTTTTTTTTCCCCAAGCTAAGTTTGGGCTGAGTTTGTGTTCCAGCTGTGTCACTAGCTAGCTGAACTTGTGCATTAAGGTGTATCCCATGGGAAGGAGAGAGGCCTCCAGAGTTGGTATAGCCTCCATCTCAGCCCTGCTAGATCAGAATCAGAATTACCCTAGTGTTGGGGTGGGCTCATGTTTTACACTTGCGGACGCTACAGAACCTGTCACAGGACAGTTACACTGTCTGCTTGGAATATGTGTAGAGTCTTGTAACTTAAAAATTCTGCCTTTTAACAGTCTAAAGCTTCTGCCTCACGGGCTAGAGATATAGCTCAGCTGGTAGAGTGCTTGCCTTGCATGCATAAGGCCCTAGGTTCAATCTCCAGCACTGCAAAAAACAAACAAAAAACCTCCTGCCTGTTACTTTGGTACAGATTGGATGAATTGGCAGCACAGGGCATCCTCTGGCTTCCTGGATGTCTTTCCTAAACTCTCAACACTAAACTCTAGATAATAAAATGCTACTTCATCTCCTACATACATCAAATATAGTATTGTCCATTATCAAATGATTGTCAAATACAAATCAAATAGAAATAAACAGTATTGTATGGTAAAGTTGTGCTCACAGAGAACTTGGGTCCACTGGATATAGTGAGCCACAAAGTGGCCCTTGGACTTTGGATCCAGATGGGACGCCAAGAGGATGGCTAGTGAATTCTGCTCCTTGCCCAAAGGTGGCGCCAGAGCACCTTTTACCACATCTGACTTTGAAGTTTTCACAAGTGCTTGTGGTAAATAAGCATCAAATTTACAGTAGGATTTTTTAAAAATACTAATCCAAAGAAGCCCACATCACTCTGATTTAACTGTAGAGGAGCAGGTAGCATCCTCTTCTCTACTACTTTCTAGTCATGTCTCTTACATCATTTGTATTGTCCTCATGGTTAGATGAATATTCTGTATCCCACTAAAGTTTTAAACTGCTTCAGTTTACATTTACATAGTTCTGTGACAATAATATTTACTTTAAGGATGAATTGATTTGTGGATTCTAGTGAGTTATACACAGGTTACTATACTATAGTACCTTAGTGGAATCTGAGGGGTCTAAGCAGTTCCACTAGTCTTAAACTCTGGGTTGAGTGTAGATGTGCCTCTTGATCTGCTATTCCCAACCTGAAGGACTATTTTGTCTAGTGAGCAGACCCAAATGACAGAGAATTCTGCTACATTTTTAGCTCTGTAAACTTGAGTAAAGTGTTTAATTTCTCTCAACCCACTTCCTTATCATAAAGTGGAAGATTTACTTCCTCCCAGGGTTTTATGGACTAAATACAATGCATAAAATACCTAGAATAGTGAATGACATGGAAAAGGTGTTAAATGCTAAATTGCTCTTTTTCTCCTTTCTACCTTCCTCTTCCCATATATATCCTTCAACTTAAAATAATGGTAATAATAGTTCATATCTACAATGTACATACAGTAAATGCATAATTAATATGTATTATGTGAAGAACTGTCCTTGCATTTTACTGTTTCACTTAATGCCCTAAACAATCCAGTGAGGTAGGGGACCACAGGCTTAAGGCCAGAAGTTCTCAAAGTATGGTCTGTAGACCTCTGGGGTTCCTGAGACCCTTTCAGGATCAAAATTATCTTCTCAATAATCTGAAAACAGGGACTGCAATGTTACTGTGATGTTTTTACTAATGGAGCAAAATCATGTCTTGTTGTGACTCCAGCTGGTCCTGGGAGTCAGGGCACTTTCCACCACCACTGGCTCCTTTAAGGAAAACAAAGCAGTTTCACTTAAGAATGCTTTTGATGAGGCAATAAAAGTTATTAATTTTATTAAATATTCACTCTTGAGTGTACCTTTTTAACATTTTCTGTGCAACGAAATGGAAAACATGCCTGAAATACTCCTGCTGTATACAGAGGTAATGTTTTCTCCAGGAAAGTCCTGGTTTGAGTTTGAGTTGAACTGACTTCTTTCCTTATGAAACAACAAAGGATTATTAACAGACAAACTAGGGTTGTTCAGACTGGTTTTCTTGAAATATGAATTGAGTAAGCCTGTCACTTCAAGAAACATTCTTTGTTGCCAGGGATAAAATTTTAGTTTCCATGTGAAAATCTGTTTTTTGGGAAAACTTGTATCTATCATTGTGAGCTTGACCCCTTTCTAATTCTCTTTAAGAGTTTTCCTGTGAGTTTGGTGGGATATGAATGAATATGTACTTTTGATGTTGCATAATGCAATGTGTCAACATTGGGAAGACCAGCATAATTCAGTGAACCGGGTATTTTCGAAATGACCAATGCATTTATGGTTTAGTGCATTGGTGCATGCCTGTAATTCCCGCAACTCAGAAGGCTAAGGCAAGAGGATTGTAAGTTCCAGGCAGCCTGAGAACTTACAGAGATCCTGTCTCAAAATAAATAAGTTCTGGGGATGTTGCTCAGTGGTAGAGTGCCCTTGGGTTCAGTCCCCAGTATCACAAATGCTTGTGCACATACATAGTTAATTTATAATGGACTTTTATTCTACATTTTAAAATTAATTAACATTTCAAACTTTTATTCATTTATAACATGGCAAAATGATACATACAACCTGCATAAACAAAAGTTCTTTTGGGTCCTTAATTTTAAGTGTAAAAATGTCCTGAAACCAAAGTTTAAGAATTACCTACGAAGATTAAAACTTGCACACACAATTAGTAAGTAATAGACCTAATTAAATCTTGACAGCCTGACCTCTGTCAATGTTCTCATTATTGATTTTTTTGATGTAGGGCTTCAAAAAGATGATCTCTTACCTCAGGATTAGGGAATCCTAGACAGATGAGCAGAATGTGTTCCTAGTTTTCACTGATTATACCTATAAGAGTCTTGGCATTCAATGCTATTCCAATTATGGACAAAAAGGCATCTGGAGCCCTTACCCTAGTATTATTCAGAAGATGACTCCTTTTTGTTATTTAAAATATGAATAAAGTGATGACCCATTCCCATCTTGGGTCAGGTTTTTTTTTTTTTTTGGGGGGGGGTAATGCTGGGGATTGAGCCCAGGGCCTGGTGCATGCCAGGCAAGTGCTCTCCCACTGAGTGACATCCCCAACCCTCAGGCATCTTCTTGTACCTCAAATTTTTCTGTAAAGCTGTAACTCAGTAAGAGATAATATTTGTATCAAATTTAATATAAGCATATGAATGTATATAAACATATAAACCTGAAACAAAAGCTTCATGAAACAATATCCTTATCATATATGATTTTGTTTATTTTTTCTTTTGGTTCTGAGGATTGAACCCAGGGCCTCAGCATGCTAAACACACAATCTACCTCTGAGCTACACTTCCAGCCTTCACGTATGATATTTTCAAATTTATCTCATTAAAAAGAAAAGTCAATTTAGTAAGCTGATTTTAAAACCACCTGTAGTTTGAAAAACACTGCCCTACTAGGATGCTTCTCCAGGACAAAAGTATACCCATGGATGAGACATGTTAATACAAGCAGTTCAAGAAGGGTAGGAATCTTTCCAAACAATCTCTTGTATTACTTGGTTATTAGAAAGTTAAAGCATTTCCTATGAAACAATCTGAAAGGTAATTGGGAAGGGAAACAGCCCCATCTAGCACAAACATTATTTATTTCTCAATATTGATCCTGAGAGGAAGAAAACATTATTCCATTATGTAGATGGGAAAAATGAGGCGCAGAGAGGTTAACAGATACTTAACTCAGGCCATTTGGCTTCCAAACCGTGCTCTTTCTGATATATTAACAGCAGTTCCTTATGTTTATACGAATAGCTCCCTTGAACAGCCACTCCTCCAAAAAGAACAAAACAAAAAATTCAGCCAAAATTTAGCAGAACACTATAGAACTAATTACCATTAATGGGAATAATCTATGGATTATCCAGTTATAATTTGGGCTTTCAAAAACACATCCTCACAGTGGTAGCAAGTTTCTAACACTCCCTTAACTCCCCCAATTTACTCTTAAAATAAGCCATAGCAGTGGGAATAGTATTCTCAGTGACTTCAGAAGCAGAAGGGAAACAGGAGATAGAGACAGATTGAGAGGTTTCCTGCACACAGTACGAAAAATACAGGCATTTTCAGGTTGGAGTGGGGGAGGTGGTAGTGGTTGTCTCCTCTGCCCTGAGAATCTGCCTCATTTCCATCTTTGTTCAGCTCTCTGAAATCTTTTTCCCCAATTCCCAAATAAAATATCCTGAAAGAATAATCTCTTTTTGGTCAGCATTAAACATGTTGGTATGAACTACCATTCCTGATACATACTTGTTTCCTGAGGCAGAAACAACTTTACATTTCTACCCCTAAAAATGAAAGTTGGATGGGTAGATGTTTGGTTTCTGAGGGACTAGTCTTAATATTCCCATCACAAACCTAACCCTGACAGAGTGGCACCCAAGATGAAAAACAAAAAGCACTTGTTCTGGCCCCTGGCAGTCAGGCAGTCAGCGTTAAGTCTACTGCTAGTACTCTACAGTCACAGGTAAGGGGGCCCTGGCTAGCTGCTCAAGTGGGAGTCCAGGTCACACATTTTTACCTGTGAGATCAAAGTCTGTGATCAGTAGGGTCTTCAGAGCTTTAGCCCCTGAGTAGCACCAGGAACAGCCATGGTCCTCCTATCCATCCAGCTCCTGGAGGAGGAAGGGCTGTTGGCTCACCCCCGCATTTCTTACCTACTACTTTCTTTACTTATTCAACGGTTAGGCATTCCCAAGCTAAAGAATGAGCAAATGAACATTTTATTAGTATTTTATTTGCATTTTTAGAGAAGATACACAGTTTCACAAGAAACACTGATTTTTCTCAAATAATAGAAAAAGGTTCTTAAAAAAGAATATTATCTTAGAAGAAAACAAGTCTCTTCAGCAAGCCAGGGCCAATTCATACTGGAGGAACCAGTGAAGTGGAAGTTACACATAGGAAGAAAGTTCAGGTTTATGCGTAAGTGTCTTCTTGTCTTGTCTGTAAGGGCAACCTTAGCTTAACACTGGTAATAAGCTCACAGACAAAGCCTCCAGGGTCCAACGGTTGCACACAGGGCTGGCTCACTCTCCAGGAGGCTGCATCTGTTTACAGAACTCATCAAACTGCTGTTGCTCCAGTTCCGTCATGACTCTGTTGAGAGCATAGATCTGAATGGAGAAACAGATATGTTAGCAACGGAAGCAGCTGCTCAGCACAGTCTTCAGACACAATAGGCTAAGTCATCTGAAAATGCTGGAACTGCACCAGTAATGGTAACGCAGGGAGAAGGGTTTGGGAACAGGAAGGTAGGTATTAATTCCATCTGGGGAGTCAAGAAAGAAGCAGTGAGGGAGGTGACTTGGTCTTTAGGGAATGGTAGGCTCTGAAGAGATAGAGACAGATGGGACTTGATAGATAATGGGAGGAGTATTATGCATAAATAAATATGAAGGAAAAGAACAGGATCAGTTCTGGAATTCAAGTAAGAATACAGAGTGGAGGTTGGGGAGTGGGAGAAAGCAAAACAAGTATGTTGGATCCTCAAATGCCATCCCAAAGAATCTAGACATTATCTGCAGACTTTGGAGAGCCAGGAACAATAAGTGTGCAGGGGAGCAAGCCAATTCTATCTGTGCTTTGGGAAAGATAACTGGAGGCCACATGAGGGATGGAGTGGTGGTGGGAGATCATCAGTCACCCAGGAGGCACCAGGGAGACTGTGGGACTATGGCCTAGGATAGTGAAAAGAACTGCCGACAGACATTCCAAAGTGAAAGGTGGGAGTCTACATCTTCTTCCTCATTCCTTCTTCCTCACAGTAATTTACCTATCTATTAAAGAACAGAAACCAATCATAAAACTTCCCAATGTGCAGAATAATGTGGTTTCTGTGTGTCTAGGAGATATAACTTGGTTAACTGAAAAGAAGACATGAAAGGAGAAAAAAAATGAAATGAGACAGGACAAACAGAAATACAACAAAAGAGCAGAGAGTAATACAATAACAACCAAACATACAATGGAGAGGATCACCAAAACTACAAGATGGCTCTTGGAAAAGTACTAAAAAACCCCTGAAAACCTGGCATGCCTGATCAATATGAAAAGGGAGTGGGCATGGCAAGCATCATTAGGAACTGAAAAGAGCACAGGACCATGGACGTGACAGAGATGAAAACAAGACACCATGAATTTGTGTCAAGACATTTGAAAGCTTCCTATTTCTAGAGAAAGCAAACTGAACTGATCAAAGCTTACTAGAAAGCTTGATCTTATCATCTTTAAGGAAAAAGAAATTCCACAGAGTGATGAAAATAGTGACAACTACAAACGATTTCCCCCAAAATGTAACGCTGATGGTGAAAATGGTAAATTGTATTTTATGTATATTTTGCCAAAAATAAAATAATTTGAATGGTTAAAAAATGTTGAGTGCTAGATGCAGTGGTGCATGCCTGTAATCCCAGTGGCTCAGGAAACAGTGGCAGGAGGAGTGTGAGTTCAAAGCCAGCCTCAGCAACTTAGTGAGCCCTTAAACAACTTAGTGAGACCCTGTCTCAAAATAAAAAATAAAAAGGGCTGGGGATGTGGTTCAGTGTTTAAACACCCCTGGGTTCAATCCCCAGTTACTGGCTCCCCCCCAAAAAAGTTGAGTGAAGACAGCTAGTCACAAGAAAGACAGACAGGCACACACAGACACACACATACACAATGTATATAGAAGTTCAGAAACATGAAAAACTAAATGATATATTTAGTTTATATAATTAGGACTACACAGAGATAGTAAATTTATAGAGAACAGCAAGGGGAAAAGATTAGCAAAAAATTAAGCAAGAACACTGCTTATGTAAAGGGTCAAGTACATGACCAGAAAGGTGTTCATAGTTTCCAAGTTCTGGTCATGTACTAGTTCTTAAATTGAAAGGTAGATACAAGGGTGTTTTATTCTTTAAACTATATATACACATTATATGAATATGTGTATGCGTGTTTCTAAAAATCTCTGTCCCATTCACTTGGTAACTAACAAGCATTTGTAATCTGCATATTACTGGGCTGGGGCCTGAGAGGGATATTAAATAGCTTTTTGGAGCCCTCCACTTTAGGAAGGCAGTGGCAGGAGAAAGGGGAAAACAAAATAGGCAGAGGAAGAAGAGAGTCAAAATGGGTCAGGGTGTCCAAGCCAAGGAATGAAAGGCTTTTGGTCAAGAAGGAAAGGGTCACTAATAGTGTCAAATACTGCTTCAGCTGCCAAATGTGCCTCATTCCCATTCATCCCTCACATCTTCTTCATATTGAACTTTCTGGAATGTGGCATCTTTGCAGAGCTGAATGGAAAATGCTGCTTCCTGTGAGGGGGGTCTTGTCACATTGCTATTTTACATGATTACATTCCAGGCAATACAGATAAAGAAAATAGCAAGGAAGCTGTAGGGCAAAGCAAAAAACAGACAAGGGTAAGAAGGCCTGTTCAAACTATAGGCCTGCCCCTGGTCACATCACTTTGTCACTTTGCTTTAAAGGGTCTTACCTCACAGGGTCATATATTTTATATATCCATACCTTATTCCAGGAAGAATTTACAAAGGATAAAATGGGAATAACAATAATACCTGTGTTGGTGGGGGGATTACAAATGTTCATGCATGTGCAGGCTCGGCCCAGTCCTGGCACATCCTAAGAGCTCAACAAGTGTCACCTGCCACTAGACTGCAAACTCAGAATACATCTTAGCAAAAGAACACAAACAGGATGTTCATTTTGCAGTCCACATGAGGAAAAAAGCAGACTGCTTGGAAGCACCATGATTCCTGATCATAATTGCTGCTGCTTATGGAATGCTTTCTCTGTGCCAGGCACTGTATTAAGTGCTTTACGTATGACATTTCTATTCCTTATAATAGTCTTGTGAGGTAGACAGTTGCATCCTCATTTTACCAAGCAGGCACTGAAGAAGTGAGGTTCAGCAGGGTGCAGTGGCACATGCCTATAATCCCAGCAGCTCAGTAGGCTGAGATAGGAGGATTG